CCGCTTCGGGTGGAAGAACGTTGAGGTCGACAAGGGGTTGCGCTCTCGGCCAAGTCTTCCGGATGCATACGCGTTTCGCGGGGGGGGAGGGGAGGTCTGCTACATTGAACGTTGTCGGCTGGAAAGCTTCACGTTCCACTTTCTTGGCCATGATTCGACTAAACCGGTAACACTGATGATGCTTTTGACAGAGTTCTATGTTATTAACTTAAATTCAACTCTGAAGCAACGACGGACCCAGCAGGGATGGAACACAGCGACTACTTGGCTCGTATTAGAGAAAAGCGGCCTATTTGTGTGGGTTGAGACGAACTCGCTTGTGTGCGGTCTACTGGCTGCCCGTGTGTCCTCTCCTCAGTCACTCCCGCACGGCCTTCGAATTCGATATCCCACCGAGGAACAGAATTGATGAGCAAGTTATCACCTGTCATGCCAGCGCCATTCATGAAGGCGCTGCAAAGTGATGATGCCTCGGATCTGGAACCCTGCCACCCGGCATTCATCACTTAGCAAATCGCAGTCTTCCGTGGACAACTAGCTGTGTGCACCAGATTTGTGTTTTGCTACCAGGTGGGATGAGTGGTGGTGCTCAGTACTGTACATCCATGCCATTGTGAAAGGGAGAAGGTGAATGAGGATTCAGCCTGGCAAACCTGCAACGACAGTTCTTTTACAGCCTGTACTTACATAAGTGGCAGTATTCTCGCAATTGATTTGAATCGCCCTGCAATCGTGGAGCTGTGGCCAGGCCACAACGAAGTAGCTTACGAAATATCTTTCGCCTGCCTTTCGCCACCACACACAGACGAGTTGTCGCCATCAGATTTCAACTCCAGCAGAGCTGGGCGCGGATATCCCAGCTAAACAGCAGCATCATGAAAAGCTAATTATCCACTGGCACGGTCGTTGCAGTCATGATTGTATTACGGCGAGGCTGGCTGCAACGTTGGTGCAGTCGTGGACCACTGAGTAAACGCGTTGTAAACGAGTTGATTTGATGAAGAATCAAATCATCGAGAAAATGACCGTGGCGTGTAGGAAACATTATTTGAAAATCTTTCTTGCCCGCAGAAGATCACCGATCATCCACGCACGAACATGGAGTCCACGACCTTTTGGCTGTCACAGGATGTTGCCAGCGAAGCCTCCTTTTTTAGTGGGCGTTCATCTGGATTGCAATGCTGCCGAATGTGCCGCCTTTGGTATCCCTCGTTACAGTCGTAAGGAGCTGATGTAAGTGTCAACATGCGTCGTTAATTATACAGCTGGGCATAGAACTCAGAATATTTATATACATAAGCGACGATCAAACATTCAGCTGTTGCACTGCAGTATCAATATTCGAACTGGGTCCGCAACATGTTCATTGCGGAAGAGGGGTCGTCCGCAAAACCACACTCACACACATACGTGTACAGTACCGCACGAACAATCTTCATTCACACATCCGCCGCACACCAGAGGCATTCCCTGGGGTTTTGAGTTGAAAGCGCAATGTTACTGTAACTATTCGATCCGAACGCATATTTGTCGCGTCTGGCGCAGTGTTTTGGGCTGTTTGTCGATTCTGACGCAGAGTTAGTAAGTTTTCTACGCAGTCTGTCGCTCATTGGTACACCTGTTAAAATTCCATTTGCTGAACATTGTTTTAGCCTGTCTAGGTAAACAGTCACCTCGATGTGGCTGGCTTGGCATGTCATTGTTACCGAATCTAGGTGACTGTTTCTCGCGCCCAAAACGAGGCATCACGTCCGTTTCGAGCCTGGAAATTGAGACGACTTCCGTCAGGATAGTCGTTCTCGCTAATAGGTGTTGCAAAATGCTGCTACGACCTATGTACTAAAATACGCGGGGATGTTCAAGATAAATATATATATAACAAATCTGATGCTCATGTATGGGGTTCACAATGAATGCATACAGGTCTATGGTATGGAGTGTTCCTGCGACTTCTCCAACGGTTATAGCTTTACAAACCTAACCGTATAGTAGCCAAAATTGATTTATTTCCAACTCTCTATCTCTCTATGTATATTTATTCATTTAGAAAGGGAGTGAGAGAGGTATATAAAAATAAATGAATAAATATACATAGAGAGATAGAGAGTTGGAAATAAATCAATTTAAATACAGTGTGAGAGTGAGAGAGGGAGGTGTAGAAAGAGAGAGAGAGGTATATAAAAATAAATGAATAAATATACATAGAGAGATAGAGAGTTGGAAATAAATAAATTTTGGCTACTATACGGTTAGGTTTGTAAAGCTATAACCGTTGGAGAAGTCGCAGGAACAATCCATACCATAAACCTGCATGCATTCATTGTGAACCCCATACATGAGCATCAGATTTGTTATATATATTTTTATCTTGAACATCCCCGCGTATTTTAGTACATGGGTCGTAGCAGCATTTGGCAACACCTATTAGCGAGAACGACTATCCTGACGGAAGTCGTCTCAATTTCCAGGCTCGAAACGGACGTGATGCCTAGTTTTGGGCGCGAGAAACAGTCACCTAGATTCGGTAACAATGACATGCCGAGCCAGCCACATCGAGGTGACTGTTTACCTAGACAGGCTAAAACAGTGTTCAGCGAATGGAATTTTAACAGGTGTACCAATGAGCGACAGACTGCGTAGAAAACTTACTAACTCTGCGTCAGAATCGACAAACAGCCCAAAACACTGCGCCAGACGCGACAAATATGCGTTCGGATCGAATAGTTACAGTAACATTGCGCTTTCAACTCAAAACCCGCATTCCCTGGTTCCCCCCATCTTCCCCCATTCTCCCCTAGGTGGCGCGTCAATGTCTATTGCGCCGCTAGGGAAATTCAATCCCCTCAGGAGTTCAGTTGGGTAGGGGGGAACAAGGGGAAGGGAGGGCAAGCGAGGGGCGGAAGAACAGAGAGGGGCGGAAGGAAGAGAGGGGGAGTTTTGGGAGGGGGTCACAGGTGACGGGAGTGAACTGGCACAGCGAGTGTCCTGTCACAGACTCACCCTGGGTATGACAGGAGGATGTTAGCGAGGCGCAGTTTTCTTCAGACCTCGAGAATGTCGTGAGTCATAGGAGCATCTCTGGTCCCTCGCGGCTCGTCTGTTGACAGCTTCTAAGGCAGCCATTCTAATTCATCCAACAAAAACGGGTTTAAGAAAGCAGGGTGCATACGGATCGCGGCATTTCCGCTGCAAATTGTTGTTGTGACTGCTCGTGACAGGACTTCAATCTGAGCCGTTCGGTAGGGCGTTATGACTTCGGTATTCTCCAAGTCGGCCTCGGGAGCTCCGCGAACGTCACCTCCTAAACCTCACCGTTTAGGAACCGAAGCTTCAGCCAATCACCGCACTGCTTTCTTTTTCGCGCACCGCGTCTGGCGGGACAAGCCATTTCTGGAGAATCTGGCCGGATGGAAGATCCCGGAACACGCAAGCGCATCTGCGGAAAATGCGCGACGCGTTTCGCCTTGATTGGCTAGAAATCGTGTCGCGGAAGCTACTCAGCAACTTACCGCACACCTGCTGAGACAAGTCTCCTCGTGCCACGTCACATGAGGAAGGCACTCGTCGCTGGGCTGTAGTATACCGCAGCTGACTCAGCAGTATTGATCGCTGGAAAAGCCACGCTGACTCGGCAGCGGAGGGGAGGTGTTACGCTGACTCAAAGGTTTCAGGTCTGCCACTTAGCAATGAGCCAGGTGTTGCATCCCACGTCCTGCGTAGAATGCTGATGCGGGGTGCTAGACTCCGGGTGCTCCCGCTGATCCTCCCAGCCCACCGTGTCGGTCGCGTCACGCGTGCGCAACCTCATTCTCGCGCAGCCAGCGATGCGCTGGACTCTTTCCGCGACTCCGCTCCGCGGAACCATCGCGAAGTCAGCGTACGGAGCGCCAGCGCAGCGCCGGCTCGCGTACCACCGATCTTGACGTGGACCGTCCAGCGCAACGCGCAGAGAGGAGTAATACCATTCGGGGGGGGGGGGGGAGTGACTCTATTTCGATTCTATCGCAAGCGGGATTGCGCCTTCATGAGGAAGAAATTCCTCCCGACGGCGTTTGGGTGCTTCCTTACGTCCGCCACACGTTTCTTGCCCCGAAATGTGACTGCTCGGGGAGGCAAGAAGGGCGGGGGAAGCGGCATCTCCCGGAGGGGAGGGGAGTTGGGGTGGGTGGGGAAGGGGGGGGGGGGGGGGGAGAAAATTCAGGGTGGAAGAGGCACCTTCTCCAGGGGGATTTTTCCAGCTAATGCGGTCGGGGGAGCTAGCTTAAATGGCACTGTCTTGCTCCGTCTCAATCCATCGCTTTCAATACCGCGATTCGCCCCGAGCGTCCGGACGCCAGACTTCAGGCTGTCATTCGTGACCCTCCCCTGTCTCACGATTCGTTACCCTACCCTGTCTTGGAATATCGGCTGCTCGGGAGGCTCAGCGCTAGTTCGTGTGTTTTCAGCTAAACCGAGCTCGCCGTTTGTCAAACCGTCGTGTTTTCAGCAAGCGACCTCTAATTCAATGATTCCTCCTGCGCCTACTGACGATTTTTTCGTCGCCTCAAGACTCAGAACGCAACGTCTAATCCAAGCAGACTGACCTTCTAAGCAGCTGACTGACGGAGATAGGTTAGACTGGACTCTTTGCTGTAGATAGACCGACCTTGGCGCTGTCAGCGCGGTTCCTACACGCGGCCTCTTGGAGACCCGCCTCTAAGCTTGCTTGTTGCTCTTGGGAAATCTCAAAAGTGAAAGTGACTTGCGAGCGACCTTGCTCGAACCTCTTCAGGCCCCCTTCATCAGGTTACAAGCTTGGGATAGGGACGGTTGCAGGAAGGGAGAAGGGGGGTTGAGTGCTGAGAGGGAGGCTCTGGTCTGGAATAAGATAGCTCTGTCACACAGAGCGCGCTGTACAGTGCGTGTGTGAGTCTGGTGATGCCATGAACGGCGGAGTGAGCGGCAGTGGCAGTGTTACAGTCATGGCGCCTGGTGCTGCGACACGGAAGCTAGGAAGCTTGATGCTCACTGGGAATGGCTGCTTTGGCCTTTCAAAAGAGATGAAACCGGATTGTGATGAACTGGGAGGGGAGAAGGGAAGCCATGGTGATGGTTATTGGGAGAGCTGCTGCAGCTGGGAGGGTGGTCGTGGGCGTGGGTCTGAGAATGAGAAGGAGAAGAGTGATAAGAACGAGAAGTGTCAGAAGAATGGCGAGACTGATAAGGGTGGCGGCGGTGGTGAGAGAAATGGGAGTGAGAATGACAAGAGTCACAAGACTGAGCTTGTAAAGAGTGAGAAGGGTGAGAAGAATGAGAAGAGTGGGAATGAGAAGAATGAGAAGAGTGGGAATGAGAAGAATGAGAAGAGTGGGAATGAGAAGAATGAGAAGAGTGGGAATGAGAAGAATGAGAAGAGTGGGAATGAGAAGAATGAGAAGAGTGGGAATGAGAAGAATGAGAAGAGTGGGAATGAGAAGAATGAGGAGGAAGTTCAACACGAGGCGACGATACCAATGGAGGAAGACTCGGCACCAGAGCCTGCTGCCAAGCATGCAACCAGCGGCAGTGGCGGTACAGAGGAAGCTTATAAGGGGGACGGCGCCGAGGCGATGCAAGTTGAGGAGGTGGGAGATGATAGGGGATTCAGGGGCATGGAGGAAGTGGCGAGCACACCGGAACTAGAGAGGGAGGTGAAGGGCGGAACCCAGACGTCTAGCAGCAGCAGTGATGGCATGCCGAGTCAGCAAGGGAGGGAACCATTGATGCTGGCCGGCTTGCTGAGTCGTTGCTCGACGAACAAGGTGGCGATGGATGGTGAAGAGTTATCGCGCCGTAACAGTATCAGTTACCGGAACAGCGAATCCCCAGCGCATGGGGAGGGCGAGTGCATGGGCAAAGGAGGTGCAGGAGAAGCAGGGAAAGAAGGGAAAGCAGGGGAAGCCGGGGGAGAGATGTATGACAAGGTGAATGCGGATGCACAGGCAGCAACAGCACATGCAGGAGACGCAGTGGCGGCGCCAGCAGCAACAACAGTAGCAGCTGCAGCAGCACCATCAGCACCAGCACCAACAGCACCGATGGCACCACCAGTGGCAGCAATTGTACCAGCAGCAGCAAGCATGCGGGTGGTGAGCTGTGAGGAGCTGCAACGTCAGCTACAACCACTCCTGGCGCACAAGACAGCCTCCTCCCCAAACTTCTCCCCTCGTTCCCTCCCCCGCTCCTCCGCCCACTCTCTGACCCGCCAGCACAAGCTGCCTATGAAGCGACCCTTCAATCACGCCCCTCTCTGTACGACTGCCGGTGGTGCTGCTGCTGGTGCTGCTGCTGGTGCTGCTGGTGCTGCTGGTGCTGCTGCTGCAGCTATTGGTTCTAATACCACTGGCCCAGCGCTAGTATCCATGACTGCTGCCCATCCGCCTCTCACGCCAACTGCTGCCTCTTCCTCCGCTCCTGGTGCTCCCCACTCTCTTCCTCCTCCTCCCCACACGCCCTCTGCAGCAACGTCCACAGCCCTGCCCGCCCTCCCCCCTCGCCCTGCCCCTCCGCCGCCCAGCCCTCTCTCCATCCCCATTGCCTTCTCCAGAGGTTTCCTCACCACCAGGCCGGCACAAGAAGACAAAGCAGGCCTAAACCCTAATCCCTCCTCTTCTCCTGCTTGGCGTCAGGCCGATCCATTCAATCCCAGTGCTCCTTTCAGTCACACGAATCAATTGAATCACCACGTCGTGGGACAGAGGCAACACCAGCAGCAGCAGCAGTCATATGCCATTCCTTTCCTGAAATCCCCCCAACCGTCCGCCCGATCACCCCTCTCCCCACCTTCCCCATTGCAACGTTTCTCCCCACTCCACCGCTCTTCAACCCTCAACCGCCCCTCCAATCTTCTCCACTCCTCTCCTCTCTCTCCTCCTTCCCCCCTCCACCGTTCTCCTCTCCTTCCTCCTTCCCCTCTCCACCGCTCTTCCCCTCTCACCCATCTCCACCACTCCTCACCTCCCACCACCCTTATAAACCACGAGCTCGCCCATTTCTTCTCCTTACCTGAGCTCGATGCCTCTATGCTACACAGTATCTCCTCTCCCTGCGTCCTGCCCCTCGACCTCTCCCCGAGCCTCTCCATGCCGAACCAGCCTGTGCCGAACCTGGACCACATGCCGAGCCTGAGCTTGCCACCTCCGGCAACAGGCTTGGGAGAAGGTGGGGAGGCTGCGCATGGGGCGTTGAGGCTGGAAGGGGGAAAGGTGACTAATGGAGGAGAAGAGGAGAGGATGGGGGAGGAGCAAGTGAGGATTGTAGGAGAGGAGGTGAGGAGGAGAGAAGAGAAGGGTAGGGTGGAGGGAGAGGAGAGGGAAATGGAGTGTGAAGGGGGTGATGGTTGCAACGGTGGTACTGATGGTGGTGATCAGAAGGGTGGCAGTATAGGTGGCGATATGGGCGATGTGGGCAAAGGTGATGTGAGAAATGTGCGAGGAGACATGATGACGTGTGGTGGAGCAGGGGTGCAAGATGAGTTGACAAACAGGAAGGAGGAAGGAGCGTTAATGGCAGCAGCAGCAGCACCTGCAGCATGTGTGAAGTCACCAGATACGGATACCCTGACAACGCCAACACCAGCAGCAGCAGCAGCATCAGGATCAGCTGCAGCACCAGCAGCAACGGCAGCAACAGAATCACAAGCAGCACCAGCAGTACCACCAGCAGCAGCGACATCCACTGAAGCAGCTCCTGAGACGTCTCAAAACCAGCAGCAGCAGCAGCAGCAGCAGCAGCAGCAGCAGCAGCAGCAGCAGCATCTGTTTCCACACTGGGAAAAGCCTGCTGCAAATCGAACAAGTGACGCCGTTCCTTCTCCCCTGTCTGCGGCTGCTGCTACTTCTCTTGTTCCTGCTGGTGGTGCTGCTGTTATTGCTGTTGATGGCGCTGGTGCTGGTACTGCTGTTGCAGCAAGTGCAGAGCAGCCGCAGCAGCAGCAGCAACAGCAGCAGGTGGTACGAGAGAGAGTGGATCAGCAGAGGGTCCACGAGGAGAGGGAGAGGAACAAGGCCAGGTGGAAGGGGCTCATTGCATCTCATCCTCTTTATAAGCAGATGCTCAACGCACATGTGGCATGCCTTGAGGTACACCTCGTTTTCATGTTCTCCATGGTTCACAACAACTACCTCCTCAGGTTTTTGTCGCACGCTTCAGCTATGTTCGTTTCTGCTTTGTCTCCTCTTCTGCTTCCCAGCTGTCCCGCATGCTTGCCTCATGAATTTCTCCCCCGGATATTCGTGTGCTTCCCCCTTATCAGGTAGCCATGCCACTGGACCAGCTGCCACTGACTCAGCTGCAGATGCAGGTTTTGAGACGCCTCAAAACACATTTCTTCCTCGTCTCTTCCTCGGCCCGCAACCACTCTCTTGTTTCCCTACTACCTCTCCCCCCCATCAGGTGGCGACGCCACTGGACCAGCTGCTGCTGATTCAAGTGCAGATGGAGCGAGCAGACCTTGTTGCTTCCACCTACACTCGCTTGCTCCACACATCCGCCCCCACCACCACCACCACCGCCACCGCCACCGCCACCGCTGCTGCTGGTGTTAACACCAACGGTACTGCTGACGCCTCTGCTAATGCCGTCGGGCCTGCACAATCAGGTGCTCCTGCTGCTGCTCCTGCTGCTGCTGCTGGTGCTCCTGCTGCAGCAGCAGCAGCAGCAGGAGGAGGAGCAGCAGCAAGTGTGGCTGGTCAGAAGTATGCTACCAATGGGAACGTGCCATGTGGCGGTCAGGGGTTGGCGTCCGATACGGAAGAAGCTGAGCTGGACAACTTCATGGTGAGTCAGACATGACACGTGTGTGAGTTTGACACGACACAGTTAAATCTGACACGTGTGCTTGTGCTGATTGCAACGTGAGAGGAGGTCTCTTGAAACAACTGGGCTGCAGTGACGAGCAGCTTCTGAGCACGCGAGGAGCACATTCAGGTGCCACTCTGAGAATTCTCATAAGCATTGTCAGTACACGAGAGAGATCCACAGCTTCACCACAGCTCCTCAAGTTTCGATTCTTCTTTTTCTGTGGGCTCTGCACACAATCCACATTCCATTTCCTCATCCCTCCCGCCACTTTTGCCCTGCCCCACTTCACTCGAAACCAATCCAGGGTCAATTTGTGAAGCTGCTGCGGGCGTTCAAGGAGCAACTGGAGGAGCACATCCGAGTGCACGCCAGGGAGGCCGTTACCACATGCGCCCGCCTCAAGCACGCCGTTGCTGCTGCTGGGGGCACTGCTGCTGATAAGCTTGCTGCGTCTGGGGCTACCATGTCCGATGATGAAGGCGGGGGAGGGGATAGGCCCAGCAGCAATGGGGGCATTAGAGCCCTGGAGGATGCATGCAACAGCCATGGGAATGGGCATGTGCATGCGTATGATAATAGTCATGGCAGCGGTTACAATAGCCAAGGGAGTGGGTACCATGGTCACCGTCTCAACTCCTTCATGCCTGTTGCTGCTGGTGGGAGTGGCAGTGGTGGCGGTGGCGACGGTGGTGGAGGCAGCAGCGGTGGTGGGTGTGGCAGCATGTCAGGCTCGTTTAACTATCAGCACCAGGGTTACTCGCAGCACCAGAATCATCCCCCCCACCACCACCACCACCACCATCAGCAGCAGCAGCAGCAACAGCAGCAGCAGCAGCAGAGTCCATCCATGCACGCACCCCATCAGCCCCTCACCCTCCTCCCGCTCCCCCCTGCACCACACCCTACCACGGGCATGGGTGGGAGTGCATGCATGGGTGCACCCATGGCATTCGGGGCAATGCAGCAGGGCATGGGGGGGCATGGCAGCATGGGGACACATAGCAGCATGGGCATGGGGATGGACACGGGCATGGGCATGGACATGACAGGGAGCATGGGCATGAGCATGGGCATGGGGGGAGCACAGGACAGGAGTGCGGTGGAAGAGGCACTACTCAAGGAATACGGTAGAGAGGTATGGTGCCCTATGTATTTCATGCTTCCATTGCCTCACAACTCATTGCAACCTCTTGCAATGCACTTCAACTCCTTGCAACTCCTTTCAAATCCTTGCAACTCCTTCCAACTCCTTTCAACTCCTTGCGACTCCTTTCAACTCCTTGTAAATCCTTTCAACTCCTTGTAACTCCTTTCAACTCTGTGAAACTCCTTTCAACTCCTTTTCTCCTCCTTTCAACGCCTTGCAACTCCCTGTACTGTCCTCAGGGGTTCCGCACTCGTCTGCTGGGAGTGAGGGAGGAGATCATGCGCAAGAGGCGCGCGGGGAAGCTTCCAGGAAACACCACGCAGGTGCTCAAGGCGTGGTGGAACGAGCATATCCAGTGGCCCTACCCCACGGTGCGTCCCCTTCCCTGCTTGCTTGCTTGCCAAGTGGCCCTACCCTATAGTGCAGCCCCCTCCTTGCTTGCCACGTCAGCAACCACACTGCATCTGCTTGCTTGTGATTGTGAGTGTGCTGCTCCTTCCATGTCCATCTGCCCATGTGTACCCATGTGTACCCATGTGTACCCATGTGTACCCATGCAGGAGGAGGAGAAGGTGGGCCTGATGGCACAGACGGGGTTGGAGCTGAAGCAGGTGAACAACTGGTTCATCAACCAGCGCAAGCGCAACTGGCATGGCAACCCCGCTGTCGCAGCCGCGCAGCACAAAGGGCCCAAGCAGGCCAAGCGCAAATGAGGAAGAGGGGAGGAAATTGCAGAAAATAAATCTAATGGAACAGTGGAGAGGGGGGTTGGGGGATGGGGGGTGGGGCGTGTGTGGACGGGTGGTTAAGGGTGACGAGGGAAGGGATGATGGGTGGGTGGGGTGATAGGTACCGTAAAGGACGGCCACAGTTGCTGCAGCAGCATCGGAGGCGATGGCGGCAGAAGTTGTGTGGTGATGTGCGCAGTGGTCGTTACTACTAACTAGCCTTCCTTACATTCAATTCAACCTTCTACTACTTGCTAACCAGGCTGACTGGTCTGCGGGGCCTTGGGCCTGCTTGCTGCTGTCTGGGCTTTATGCTTGTTTCTTTTTGAATCAAGCTGGTAATAAATGGCATCTGTTCTATGAATGTAAAACTAACTTGTATGTGCCACTAAGCTATGTTCAATCAAGTGCGTATGGTCCAGCAAGGAAAGGAAGAAAAAGTGGGCAAATCGACATGTTAAGAGTGTTCCTCTTTTTCTGAAAATAGGGCCGTTCTAAGCCAGAGATACGTTTGTGACCAATTTCCCATGTATTTTGACAACTTGCATTGCCTCCTGTCTTAATTCAGACTGTCAGGCACTCCGGTAAATGAGATAGGAATTGGATGACCTGTTATGGTAAGTTTCAGCAGCTTGCATGGGTTGTGATAAAATGACATCACATGTTAAGACGAAGTATCGTACATGTGTTGATGCAAACAACTGTATATGGTTTTAATGTGACACGGTAGGTGTTACAGGATGAACTTAGAGACATCAACCTTCTGCAGCAAGTCACCCAGCGGCCGTCGAACATCCTGAGAGAGGCAAGTGGGGGGGGTGGCAAGGGAAAAGCGTGGGGCCAAAGGAAGTGGATGCAAAAACACAGTGTCAAACAAAAACCAGGAGGGACCTCTTACGGTGTGTCCTCCACCGACAAATATCCAGGACCAATATTGCACACATGCCATGATACCAGAAAGCTTCAGAGAGAATGGCATGTTCTAGCAAGGCGCACCTCTTGATCCACCACGCATGTCTCCCCCTTCCTCTCGGGCGCGTGGAAGCTGATGTCCTCCACCACCCGCTCCAACACCTGCCATGGTGCCAATGGGAGGGGAAGCGCGTGAGGAGATGCAAGGGCATGCAAGGGCATGCAAGGGGGTGCAAGGGCATGCAAGGGGGTGCAAGGGCATGCAAGGGCATGCAAGGGGGTGCAAGGGCATGCAAGGGGGTGCAAGGGCATGCAAGGGGTTGCAAGGCGATGGGGGAAGGTGAGCATGGGGGTTTGAGATGCTGCTAGCTCTCTCGAGCGCATGGAAGCTGATGTCCCCCCCCACGCGCTCCAACACCTGGCGTGGTGCCATGGGAGGGGATGCATGCAAGGTGATGAGAGGATGGGAGAGAGCATGCGGGATGTGAGGGGACGTAAGCATAGGACGGATGGTCGACTGGAAGCTGATGACCTCCACCACGCGCTCCAAGACCTGCCATGGTGCCATGGTGCATGGGGGGGAGGAGGTGAAAGGATGGGATGGGACGGAGCATGAGGGGAAGTAACCATAGGAGAGAGCTCGGGTGGTCGACCGGAAGCTGATGTCCTCCCCCACGCGCTCCAACACCTTCCATGGTTGCCATGGTGCCATCGGTGCAAGGGAGTAAGGTGCACGGGAAAATGCAAGGGTATGCAAGGGGATGCAAGGCGGAAGTCTCACTTGAGTCTTACACACCACATGCAAACTCGCAACAAGGCATCTCAACAGCTATCCTCTCACCCAGTGTCACCCAGTCTCAACAGTCATACTCACCGTGTGCAACCTTCTTGCACCAATGTTGTCCAGCGTGTGATTGATCTGCCATCCATCCATCCACACATGCATGCAAGCACACACGCACACATGGGAGAAAACTCTTTCGCAAAGCATCGTTGCAATATCCTGGGAGCACCAAGAGACTGTTTTCGAGATGATAGGAAGCACACCACAAGGCTGTGAGCAGGCTTGGGGAGGCAGGCGTACCAACGCACCTCACAGACCACAATGCATGCAGCAGCGCAACTACACCTCAGCACCGCAACCACACCTCAGCAGCGCATGCCTAACCTGACCTCAACGCACCTCAGCAGCCATGGCGGCAGCCTCCCGGATGGCAGACTCAGTGAATACAAGCTCAACCCCCTCCGTGGCCATCAGCAGCTGCTGCTGCCGAATCATGTTCGCCTCGGGCTCTGTGAGAATGCGGTACAGATCCTGCGGTGAGGGGGAAAGAGAAAGAGAGGAGGGGAGAGGAAGAGTCATTTCACGATCGTTTCTCTGAGAAAAAAACGTCGCACTTGCTGCTCTGCCAGCATGTCGGAGGGGTGGCAGGCGGTGGTTTTTGAGGCGCCTCAAAAACGACCTCAATGCATGTCGGAGGGGCGGCAGCCGGTGGGTTTTGAGGCGCCTCAAAAACGACCTCAATGCATGTCGGAGGGGCGGCAGGCGGAGGAGCCACCTGCACTTCACCCTACATCCCTTTAGAGCCCGTCAACTCTCACCTCTCTGGTTAGCCCCTTGAGCTCCACCCTTATGGGCAGGCGCCCCTGCAGCTCTGCATGTCGGAGGGGCGGCACTCGGTGAAAGCACCTTCACCCTATCTCCTTAATATTAGTTCCATATTGCTCCTCACCTCTCTGGTCAGCCCTTTGAGCTCCACCCTTATGGGCAGGCGGCCTTGCAGCTCTGCCAGCATGTCGGAGGGGCGGCACGCGGTGAAGGCACCACTAGCGATGAAGAGAATGTGATCCGTGTTGACGTTGCCGTGCTTGGTGGATACCACACTGATGAGGGAGGGGAGCATGGGCAGAAAGAGGAGGGATGTGGGAAGCATGGGCCAGGATGGGTTCAGCTGTAGAGAAGCAGGTCGCACCTCCATTCTCCGTTCATGCAAAACCATGCCATACGAAGCATGCCATAGCCATACATAGCCATACATGGCCATCCATAGCCATGCATAGCCATACATGGCCATACAATGCACACTGTACCATGTTGGGAAACAACCTGCCATAAATAATGGACAGCATGCTCTACCATACCATACCGTACCCTATCGTACCGTACCCTATCGTACCATACCGTGCCGTACCATACCGTACCATACCGTATCGTACCGTACCCTAACGTACCGTACCACGCATAACGCCCTACCTGCCCTCAATGATGGGCAACAGGTCGCGCTGAACACCCTCAGCACTCGCATCGGCACCATGCCGCGTGTCGCTGGAGTGCACGATCTTGTCTATCTCGTCTATGAACACTATGCCCTCTGACTCCGTTGCCTGGAGAATGGGGGGCATGCACGGGGCATGGAGCACAGCACAGGGGCAGGAGAATCATTGCGTTGTGTGTCGCTGGAATGCACGATCTTGTCAATCTCATCGATGAACACTACGCCCTCTGACTCCGTTGCCTGTGGCGGTGGTTGGGAACAGAGACGGAGGGTGACACGGGAAGAGGGGGAGGAACAAGTATTCTTGTAAATCTCATCTCTTTGCAGGTTGCTTTTGAGACTTCTCAAAAACACTAAGCACTTCTCCACTGCCAGCACCCTTCGCCACTGCTCCACGCCACACCCCTCCCCCCTCACCACAGCCACTTCCTCTCACCTAAACGCAGCTCCTCCGCCCTTCTCCATGCACAATATCAAACACGCATCGTCACTTCCTCATCCCGCCTCGCACCTGAATGGCATCCTTCATGAGCGATTCAGACAACAGGCGCTCTCCATCTCTGCGTAGGTCAGTGCTGCCCTCGCCCCATCTACTGTCAACTGCGTCACTCATTCCCCTTCGTGCAAACCTACACCAATGCAAGCACCCTTGGCAATCGCCACGCCAACTCCCATGAGCCCCTCGCACCTGAATGGCGTCCTTCACGAGCGATTCAGACGACAGGCGTTTCTCCATCTCTGCGTCGGTCAGCGCTGCCCTCGCCTCCGCCACAGTCAGATCCTTCTTCTCCCTCCGTGTCCCCTTCACCACTCGCTCCATCTGATCCCACGAGAAAAAAAAGGGGGGAGGGGAACGGAGGGCGACTTTAGAATTGGCTCTAGACGGAAAGGAGAGAGTTGGAGTGTACCCACAGGTCCTTCTTTTCCCACCCTCTGCACTCGTGCACCCACCCTCTGCACTCGTGCACCCACCCTCTGCACGAAGTCATGCACGTTGAGCCCTGCTGCTCCTGGCATGTCGATGGCGAATCCGCCATGTCAGGCACCCCGCCGCAGGTCACCAAGGAGCAACACCTGCACCCACCTGCACCCACCTGCACCCACCTGCACCCACCCACCCTACTCACCCTCTGCACAAAGTCGTGCACGTTGAGCCCTGCAGCGCCCGACATGTCGATGGCGAACCCGCCCAGACCTCCCAAGGGAGCAAAGTGCACTCGCCTCTCGTCCAACACACCCTTGTACTCACGCACACCTATATTCCCTGAAGACACCACCCACCCACCCGCTGCACGAAGTCGTGCACGTTGAGCCCCGCTGCGCCCGACATGTCGATGGCGAACCCGCCATGTCATTGTCAGGCACCCCCGCACTGGACACACAACCGCACAACCAACAAATCAACAAAACAGCCCCCGCCACTGAACCCACAACCCCCACCCACCCTCTGCACGAAGTCGTGCACGTTGAGCCCTGCAGCGCCCGACATGTCGATGGCGAACCCACCCAGACCACCCGAGGGAGCGGCGTCAGGCAGCTCCATGTGCACTCGCCTGTCGTCCAACACCCCCTCCCTGTACAGCAGACGAAAGGTCTCCCTGGAAGGGGGTGTCTGGGGGGGAAGCGGGCGGGGAGGAAGGGGGAGGGGATGGGCATCAGCAGCTGCGTCATCAGCAGCCAAAGAAGAAGCAGAAGAAACAACAGCAGCATGACTAGGAGGAGCAACGTCAGGCAGCTCCATGTGCACTCCCCTGTCGTCCAACACTCCCTCCCTGTCCAGCAGGCAGAAGGGAGAGAATTGTGGGGCAGGTGCGGAAGGGTGAGGAATAAGGAATCAGCAGCAGTGAGTCAAGCAGGTCAACACGGTCAAACGGGGTAACTTGTCTTGTCAAATTCATGAAGTCAACTAGTCATATGGTCAGTCAACTGGTTAGCTCGTCAGTCAATGCAGTCAATGCAGTGCCAACGAGAGGAGGTGGCGGGGACTAAGATTCTGCAGTCAATGCAGTCAATGCAGTGCCAACGAGAGGAGGTGGCGGGGACTCAGATTCTGCAGTCAATGCAGTCAATGCAGTGCCAACGAGAGGAGGTGGCGGGGACTCAGATTCTGCAGTCAATGCAGTCAATGCAGTTAATGCAGTGCCAACGAGAGGAGGTGGCGGGGACTCAGATTCTGCAGTCAATGGAGTCAATGCAGTGCCAACGAGAGGAGGTGGCGGGGACTAAGATTCTGCAGTCAATGCAGTCAATGCAGTCAATGCAGTGCCAACGAGAGGAGGTGGCGGGGACTCAGATTCTGCAGTCAATGCAGTCAATGCAGTGCCAACGAGAGGAGGTGGCGGGGACTCAGATTCTGCAGTCAATGCAGTCAATGCAGTCAATGCAGTGCCAACGAGAGGAGGTGGCGGGGACTCAGATTCTGCAGTCAATGCAGTCAATGCAATGCCAACGAGAGGAGGTGGCGGGGACTCAGATTCTGCAGTCAATGCAGTGCCAACGAGAGGAGGTGGCGGGGACTAAGATTCTGCAGTCAATGCAGTCAATGCAGTGCCAACGAGAGGAGGTGGCGGGGACTCAGATTCTGCAGTCAATGCAGTCAATGCAGTGCCAACGAGAGGAGGTGGCGGGGACTCAAACAAAGTCGACTCAAAAGCAGATTCTGAACCCTCACTTGATCGTTCCTTGGCTTGATTCTGAACCGCCAAATTTCTCTACAAGAGATTTTCAAGCAAACATTTTAACTAACAAACTTTTTTACAAGTTGAATCAGTCGCAGCCACGTAAAGACATGGCTCCTATCTGGGGCACCATTTCCGTCGCTTGGCCTGACCGGATTATTCCATGTTCCCTCCCTTCCCCCATTTCACTCTCCCTCCCCAGTCGCCCGCACCCAAGAGATACCGGGAAACCGGAAAACCGGGATACCGGGATACCGGGAAACCGGGATACCGGGAAACCGGGAAACCGGGATACCGGGATACGAGGATACCGGGAAACCGGGAAACCAGGAAACCGGGAAACCGGGAAACCGGGAAATCAAGAAACCGGGATACCGGGATACCGGGAAACCGGGATACCGGGAAACTGGGATACCGGGATACCGGGATACCGGGATATCGGGATACCGGGATACCGGGATACCGGGAAACCGGGAAACCGGGATACCGGGAAACCGGGAAACCGGGAAATCGGGAAACCGGGAAACCGGGATACCGGGAAACCGGGAAACCGGGATACCGGGAAACCGGGAGACCGGGATACCGGGATACGGGGATACCGGGATACGGGGATACCGGGATACGAGGATACCGGGAAACCGGGAAACCAGGAAACCGGGAAACCGGGAAACCGGGAAATCAAGAAACCGGGATACCGGGATACCGGGAAACCGGAATACCGGGAAACCGGGATACCGGGATACCGGGATACCGGGATACCGGGAAACCGGGATACCGGGATACGGGGATACCGGGATACGAGGATACTGGGAAACCGGGAAACTGGGAAACCGGGAAATCGGGAAACCGGGATACCGGGAAACCGGGATACCGGGAAACCGGGATACCGGGATACCGGGATACCGGGAAACCGGGATACCGGGAAACCGGGAGACCGGGATACCGGGATACCGGGATACCGGGATACGAGGATACCGGGAAACCGGGAAACCGGGAAACCGGGAAATCGGGAAACCGGGATACCGGGATACCGGGAAACCGGGATACCGGGATACCGGGATACCAGGATACCGGGAAACAGACTTACAAGCTCTCCCAGTGACCTGCTTGACTCACTGCGCCCGGCTGTAGCGCGCCCAGCAGATGGTCTAGAATCTTGCTCTCCACCACCTCCTCCACCTCCTTCGCCGCCTTGGCCCGAGCCTGACACGGAGGTTCGGGGAGTGGACAGTGGTAGGGGCACAGTGAGGGAAAAAGAGGTTTGAAAAAAACGCATGGAACCACAGACCCAGACTTGCCCTTAAACGAGTAACTCCAATAAGGTTCTGATGCGAACTCAGAAAGGTGAAGAGAACGCACACCTTCTGCCGCTGCAGCTGAATGGCGTTCTCCAGCAGGTCTCGAATGATCTGGTCCACGTCCCGCCCGTGAAAGCCCACCTCCGTGAACTTGGTGGCTTCTACCTGCCATCAGACACACACAAGCACGCAAGCAAGCAAGCACGCATGTATGTTTTTTTGAGACGTCTCAAAAAAACCCTCTCTACAAGCCCACCTCCGTGAACTTGGTCGCTTCTACCTGTCGTCAGACACACACACACAAGCACGCAAGCACGCATGTATGCATACACACACACACACACACACACACACACCCACACCCACACACACTTACAAACACACCGAGACACACCCACACATAGACCCCACCACACACCCACACACACTTGGTGGCTCAAACCAGGCGAGCACATTTTGACGAGGGGAGTACAAACGAGCCGGGGCAACTTGTGAGCCGACTCAGTATAGGAAGATAGTTTCGACTCAGATCCAGCAGATCTAACTCGTTCGCACGTACGCGCGTTTCGGCCGATGGCCTTGGTCAGCGCTTTGACGAGGGGAGCATAAACAAGCCTGGGCAACTTGTGAGCTGGTTTTTTAGAATTCTCAAAAACCACCTGGGCAACTTTTGAGCCGACTCATTGGTGGTCTAGTCAGGACGGCTCAAACTTGGCATGGCGAGCGAGCGCACCTTGACAAAGGGCGCATGGATGAGCTTGGCAAGGCGCCGGGCGATCTCGGTTTTCCCACAGCCGGTGGGGCCGACCATGAGGATGTTCTTGGGAACCACCTCGTCCCTCATGGAACCACTAATGCGCTTCCGCCGCCACCTTAGGGGGATAGGGGTGGGGGGGAAGGCAGGGGTGGGGGGGAAGGCAGGGGTGGGGGGGAAGGCAGGGGTGGGGGGGAAGACGTGTCAGGGCTCTTCCCACAGCCGGTGGGGCCGACCATGAGGATGTTCTTTGGAACCACCTCATCCCTCATCGCCCCACTGCTGCGCTTCCGCCGCCACCTATTGTCCAACGCGAGTGCGGTGAGTGAGGCAAGGGGAGGGAGGGCAGGTGCGCGAGGGAAGGCACGTGAGGGAGGCAGGGCAGGGGCAGGGGGCAGGGCAGGGGTCGGTGGGAGGGGGGAGAGACTAGTTTCTGAGACGTCTTGAGAGTGTTGCCGCCATTGGTGGGACCAACCATGCAAATGCTCTTGTGCTCTTGGGCACCACACCACATCGCCCCTCATGCACCCACTGATGCGCTTCCTGCGACACCTGTTGCTCGCAGACTCGCAAGGACGGGGGGAGAAGGAAAGGCAGGGGTGGGAGGGAGGGCGCGGGTGGGTGCGAGGGAGGGCAGATGTGGGAGGAGGGCAGTGGTCGGAGGTGGAGGGAAAAGGTGGGGGTGAGGAATGGAACGCACGGTTTATAATCTACGAATACGCACTCCATAACTGAACAACAAGCGAAAGGAAGAAAGAAATCATTCGAGAAAGAGCAGGGTCGCTAGAAAACTGCTGCTTGCTTACACCAAGGTTAAGCAAACCGTTGACTCAAGCCAAGTGCAGCTGGACCCGCCGCACCTGTTGCGCAGGGCAATGGCAACGGCTCGCTTGGCCTGAGCCTGCCCCACAATGTGGCGATCCAAGAGCTCCACCACCTTGGCTGGCGTCAGATCGTCCTCCGATACCTGCTCTGTGGGGAGGGGAAAGGAGGGAGGGAGAGGCGTGGGGGGAGGGACAGAGAGGTGCAGGGAGGAAGAGGGAGTCAGAGAGGAGAGGGTGAGTGCATTCATGCGGCACCAAAGAAAGAGGCCTGCCCCACACTGTGGCGATCCAAGAGCTCCGCCACCTTGGCTGGCGTCAACTCGTCCTCCGATACCTGCTCTGCAATCAGGAAAACAACAAGGAGAGTAAGAGGGAGAGACGGTGGGAGACGCAAAGCAACTTCTGAACCGAGTCAAAAGTCATCTTGGGTGGCGACAAGTCCTTGGCTCTTGAATACCTGCTCTGTGCAAGGGTAAGGAGAGAAAGCCGTCTTTTGAGTCAACTTCCGAACGATGATGTTGAGTGGATAAATGATTTAGAATGGGGGAGGAATCAGAGGAACAAGGTCCAGATTTACCTGATACGGCAGAGGATTCATCATCAGTGTCTGCTGGTGCTGTAGCGGGATCGGCAGCAGTGGCTGCAGTGGTGGCACCATCGCCACTTGATGACAATAACGCGGATGTGGTCAGGGTTGCTACAGACCTGCTTAAGGAGCGAACCAAAACAACAAAACATGCATAACAGTGGTTTATTAGGGACCTAACAAGTTCATAGCGACATCTCAAGACGTCCTCAGAGTTATGATTCATCTCCGCGCTACCATGCACGCCACTGCCCTGAAAACCACACCAGTGCTCGTAGATGAACGCAATAACACAGAATACAGAACGGAGTGTAGGAATCCACGCGCGAGGATGTGGTTCAACGAGCCACTCAACTGGAAGCTGCAAGCTTGCTGCTGGAAGGTGCGCGGAAACCCGTGAACGGACGAGCATTGTCTGTGCGGAGAAGCGGATACGGAAGCGGCGGAAACGGCGGAATTGGCGGAAAGAGTTGAAAGCTGGGACACGTGGGGGGCGGCGGAGGCAGATCCGAGATGGCGCGCGAGCCACGCGCAGTGGTGCGGGTAGCGGGAGGAACGGCGGAGGATACGGTGGACTGACATGGTCGATCCGTTAAATGCGGTACAGAACTATATGCCTGCCAGGTGCTACTCCCAAGTTGGCTGTCAGAACCCGCGTTAAAAAGGCATAGATCGTCACACCCTTCAAAGAAGCGAAATAAAGGCGGACCGAGGAGGAACGACCGGATCGACAATCGTCTCCTGTCTGTCTGACGACAGGAAGTGTGAAAACCGGAAACCCGACCTGAGAACAGGACAGGAATCCGTCAGATCAAGCTCCTAGCAAGAATCATGTACTAAGACGTCAAGCACAAGAGTGAAAAAGAAGGTGCAAGTTTCTCGATGTTCCACACAGAAAATCCGCTGTATGGTGTAATCCCTGCTACAGTGTTAGCACGGAAATATGTTGGAAAGGACACCAATGTAGGCAAACTTACTCCGTACAGCCTTCTTTATTTGTGGCGGTACTAATAGCGTACAACGAAATACTTATATTTCGACACTTCTGAACTATCAAATCGACCATCCTACCCTGCGTGCTATATTTGTCAAGCACCGTTGCTAAGTATCACGCATCATTGACCACCTTCACTCCAGTTTCCCCTCTTCAACCTCATCTTCTAGCGAAAACACATCCGTGTTTATCGGCTTCTTCTCTGCTGCAGACCCTGCCTCTGCTTTCGCTGAAGCCACTGATGCTGACGTAAGCGCCACGTCATCATCATCCTCTGGAGCATCCTCCGAATATGCGTATCTGGACAAACAGCGGTACAAAGGTCGGATTAGTTGCAAGGTTACATCATCAAGCGAAACAAGCCACTGTCACAGTAACTGATGCAGCAGTGTGGAAGAACAAAAATAGCAGTGTGAGCAAGCGCGAACATGAGGCTCAGAAGCAAGAGCAGGAGAAGTGCGTGCCCCTGGAGGAGGGGAGCATGAACGTTATGTACACACCTGGTGGAGTTGAGTGAGGGCGCGCAGAGCACGCAGATGGCCCAGAGCAGCACATACTGCAGCAGGTGCCAGAAGTGTGGGAGAGCTTGATACTTGCCCGCAGTGTCGGGGAGTACAAACACCAACTTAACCACATTCATGTGTGAGTACACAACACACCTGGTGGAGTTGAGGGAGGGCGCCCAGAGCACACAGATGGCGCAGAGCAGCACGAACTGCAGCAGGTGCCAGAAGCACCCCGTGATCCAATCCGCCTCCCACCTCTCATTGTACGGGTCCGACAGCCGCACATACATCTGGATGAGGGTTGAGCAGACGGGGAGGGGCAGATGGGAAGATGCGAAGAAACAGATGGGAGAAACAGATGGGAGAAACAGATGGGAGAAACAGATGGGAGAAACAGATGGGAGAAACAGATGGGAGAAACAGATGGGAGAAACAGATGGGAGAAACACGGTTTGAGATCACACACGGTTTGAGATCACACACGGTTTGAGATCACACACGGTTTGAGATCACACACGGTTTGAGATCACACACGGTTTGAGATCACACACGGTTTCAGACATTCCACAACACAGATTGACAGTTTTGAGACTGATGGCCGCACATGCATTCGAGGACAAAGACAAACAGAGGAGGATCAGACCAACATGTGGATTGGGCCAAACAGGATCAGCACAGAGACAAGCAACATAATCTCGTGTAGCGAACAAGCACGGGTGCAGTGTGGTTCAGTGCGCACCTCGTATGCGATCCAGGCTACAGAGACCAGCACGGCCAGAGCCATGCCGTTGGTGAACTTACGGTACAGCTCCAGCTTCGACCCTGTGCGCTTCGTCTGGAAGAAGAAAGAAACGGGGGGTGGGGCAGGGGGGTTGAGGCAGGGGAGAATGGAGCATTGGGGAATGCCCTTCCATGCAACCATCACCAGCACAGCCAGCGCCATGCCGTTGGTGAACTTGCGGTACCGCTCCAGCTTCGACCCTGATCGCTTCGTCTGATAGGTGGGGGAAGGAAAGGAGGCAGGAGGGGTGGGGCATGATAGAACGGCATGATTGGGCATGAAAGGGCTGAAAGTCACCAGCACGGCCAGCGCCATGCCATTAGTGAACTTGCGGTACTTCTCCAGCTTCGACCCTGAGCTTCGTCTGGTGGGCAAAGGAAGCGAGGGAGAGGGGGGGGGGGGGCGGAGGGTTGGGGGGGGGTTTGGGGGAAGCGGCATACGAAGACGTGAACTTGCGGTACAGCTCCAGCTTCGACCCCGACCACGTCGTCTGGTGGGCAAAGGAAGAAAGGGGGAGGTGGGTTGGAGAATTGGGGTGTGGGGGAAGGGGGGTCAAAAGGAGTGAACTTGCGGTACAGATCCAGCTTCGACCCCGGCCGCGTCATCTGGTGGACAGGAGGGCGGAGGAGAGGGAAGCGACATAAAAGGGTAATATATGGGCGCGAACGGGCACGGATGAGATGAGCACATCGGGCATTAAAAGGCATGAACGGGCATGAAGACAGTCATCATCCCCTCATCCCCGTTCCCACGAGCTGATTCCCCAAATCTCCCCTGTTCTACAAAGGAACTTAGGAACGAGAGCACTGTGACCAACCTAATGGGACCGCTTTTTGAGACGTCTCAAAAATTTCCCTTGTTTTCCAAAGGAGCTTAGGAACGAGAGCACCCCAAAGGAGCTTAGGAACGAGAGCACCCCAAAGGAGCTTAGGAACGAGAGCACCCCAAAGGAGCTTAGGAACGAGAGCACCCCAAAGGAGCTTAGGAACGAGAGCACCCCAAAGGAGCTTAGGAACGAGAGCACCCCAAAGGAGCTTAGGAACGAGAGCACCCCAAAGGAGCTTAGGAACGAGAGCACCCCAAAGGAGCTTAGGAACGAGAGCACTGTTACCACCCTAATGTGACCGTACCTGCAACAAGTGCACTCCCCCCCCCCCCCCCCCCCCCCCTCCACCCACCCATCCACACCTTTCCCCTCAACACTACAGGCCCACCTGCAGCAGGGAGAGAGACTTGGAGAGCGAGGAGAAGATCCAGAGGATGAAGATGGCGTCCAGCACGGCCACTCTTTTATCCTTGCACACACGCTTCCACCCAGGAACCCAGGAGCAACAAGAGCACTGTGCCGCCCCCCCCCTCCACAACATTACGACCATACCTGCAGCAGCGAGAGAGTCTTGGAGAGCGAGGAGAAGATCCAGAGGATGAAGATGGCGTCGAGCACAGCGACAGGCAGCACGAGGAAGAGGCGCTCGCTGCTGTTCAGGTCGTCGATGGCGCCCACGTTCTGCATCACGTCCAGCAGCTCCACTGCACAGAAGTAACCTGCACCCAAAGCCATAACCTGCGGGGGAGGGGCGAGAAAGGGGTGTGGGGAGGAGGGTTACAGAGAGAAAGAGGCAGGACAGGCGCCCCCACATTCTGCATCACGTCCACCAGCTCCACCGCACAGAAGTACCCCGCACCTAGCGCCATCACTTGGTGTAAGGAGACGGGAGGTGGGGAGGGAGGGGGACGCGTTCGAATGGGAAACCAGGAAGCCCGTGTGGCTCATAGGTCGCCCCCACAGTTGCTGAGAGTCACTTCGCGTCTTCTCTACCATCTTTACCCCCTCAATTACTTCCGCCCAATCCAGCCCCTATCACTTCCCCCCTACAAGCTTCCTCACCCTGCGTTCCATCTTCCGTCCCCTTCACCCTCTTTCTGCTTCCCCCTCACCCTCCCTCTCATTCCCTTCCACACTCGCCACACTTCCTTCCCTTTCCCCCGTCACCCCATGTTTTCCACTCTTCTTTCTCACCTCACCAGCCCAAGCGCCCATGATACCCACTCATTCTTCCCAAACACCTCCCCCCTTACGTTCCCCCCTTCCCTTACGCAACACCTCCTCACATTCTCCTCCCCATCCCTGTGCTTCTCTCCCCCACCTTTCCCCCCATCCTGGGCGTACCTTCCCTGACAGCCCGCCCAGCGTCGGCCGCACCACGCCATACCCCATCGCCACGATCAGCACGAGCACGCGCGACACGGCCTTGCGCAGCGCGCCGAGCGTGGCGGCCCAGATGGTGGTCCCGTAAGGGCGGAAGCCACCGGCGTTGAAGTTGACGTAGTCGAAGTACCAGGTGGCCATCTCGAGCATGGAGAGCGCCCAGAACTCCCCCTCACATCCCCCTCCCCCTCACATCCCCCTCCCCCTCACATCCCCCTCCCCTTCACATCCCCCTCCCCCTCCTCTTCCCCTCCCTTGCCGTGCATTCTTGAAGCGTACCTTTCCTGACAGCCCGCCCAGCGTCGGCCGCACCACGCCATACCCCATCGCGACAATCAACACCAGCACGCGCGACACCGCCTTGCGCAGCGCGCCGAGCGTGGCGGCCCAGATGGTGGTCCCGTAGGGGCGGAAGCCGCCGGCGTTGAAGTTGACGTAGTCGAAGTACCAGGTGGCCATCTCGAGCATGGAAAGCGCGATGACGGCCGTGATGCAGTTCTGCAGCTGCAGGATGTCGCGCCAGAAGCGCGCGTACTGCATGAACCACACCACGCCCAGCACCAGATACGCCTGGGGGGATGGGAAGGGGGGGGAGGAGCGAGGGAGAGGTGGGGATGGGGGTGGGAGGGGGGGGCGGGCGGAAGGGAGTGTGGGGCGGGTGGAGGGGAGTAGGAGTTTTGCGCAAGAAACGCGCTCACGGCAAGAACAACACCACGCCCAGCACCAGGTACGCCTGGAGGGGATACCGGCCACGGCCAGGGGGTACACAGTTACCAGCGCGTACAAGTCAGGTTCTTCTGCTTTAGAACTGCCTCTAATACACTCAAAAGGATAGCTTTGCCACCATGGATATGAGCGCGTACAAGTCCGCTGCTCAAACTTCGAAACCGGAATCCAATCAAGCCAAGAGAAGAAGACTCACCATGGACAAGAGCGCGTAGAAGTTTAGGTAGGGCATCATCATGCCCGGCAGATACCCGCCCGGGTTCTTTCACACGGTCGTGCCAGTGACTTTAGGGCGACTGAAATGTCACCCCGTTACAATGGCACACGTCATACCACTCACCATGGACATGAGCGCGTAGAAGTTGAGGTAAGGCATCATCATGCCGGGCAGATACCCGCCCGGGTTCTTCCAGATGGTCGTGCCCGTGACGGCCACGCCAGCGAGGCTCTTGTCGCAGATGACGAACCACAGGTAGTACATGCCGGGCGCCGTGATGTGGATATCCGACGGCGCCACCGCCACCGCCGTGTCGTTGCCAATGAAGTTAATTTCCACCACGCGGGGCCACTGTGGAGTGGAGTTGATCATGCAGGGTGGAAGCGGAAAGGGTCAAATATGAACAACCTGGTTGGTGCCGTGATGTGGATCTCCAACGGCGCCACCGCCACCGCCATGTTGTTACCAATGATATTGATTTCCACCACGCGAGGCCACCGTGGACCAATGATATTGTTTATCTCTTTATTACGCTTGGCCTCTTTACCTTCTAGGGTTCCACTAGACGAGAAAATAACATCGCTTTGGATTCTTATACATGTACGCGAATCAGAATACTATTGCGCGGATCCGAAAGAATGATGTCCGTACCTGGTTATCCCCGTCTCTCGGCCGCACGATGATGTGTCCAGGGTTGCATCCCGTCCGTTGAACGAGCTCAGGAGAGCAGCAGAACGCGCGGATGTTGGAAGCCGACGCATAGCCGATGCGGTCGCGGTCCTTCACCTCGAACAACAGAGCCTCGATTCTCCCTGTCTGCCCGGCGATCGGAGACACCTGAGCCTCGGAGAGCGGCCGATGGAACTTCAGGTTGTCGAACCTGGATACACGACGACGCAAGTACCGATCCCAATACAACGCATTAGTCTACGACCCTGACAGGAGCCGGCAATGACCAATGGGAGCAGCCACGCAGGAGTCTACAAAAAAATCCGTTAAACTATGCTTTTTCAGGATCGATTGAAGAGCACAGTAATTCACAAAAAGTTGCGTTGATTCGCCAGCCAAAACGTAACCCATTGTTGCTGGTCAATCTAAATATGGAATCAAATTGGATGCACGTTCTTTTGTTCGCCAAGGGATCTTAACTACCAGCATCTCGAGATCATTCCTACCGGATGTATGCTTTCCCGTTTGCGACTCCTCTCGGGATGTCCACCCAACGGCGAACTGCCTCGGGCGTGGATGCGAACAGACCTTCGCGTCCGCCTCGGAAGAGGAAAGCATCGGACGCTTGGAAAAACTTCCCGCCATTATACTCGTGTACAGCCGCCTCGGCAAGCAGGCCAGACAGCAAACAGAATATAGCAAGCCCGCAGGCGAGCCTTCCTAACGCAGCCATGGCGGCCCACACAGATAAGATAACTCCTGCTGCTGCTGATACGTCGTTCTACAAGAAAACTTCGGGATTCCCTTCCCACTGAACGGACTGAAGGTCATGGGAACTCCAGGCTTGGGTCTGTGGATGTGAATCTGACGATGGGGGGATGAGCGGAGCGATTTCGAGTTGAAGGGTGGGGGGGGGGGTGGGGGGTGGAGAGGAGGAAAGAACATGGAGTTACGGAGGGCGAGGAGCGGAAGAACCACGTGGAAGCGGGGAGCAGAGTGGCAGAAGAATCACGAGGAGGACGCGGAGGGAGGAGTGAGGAATAGAGTCGCACGCCGGGATGGGCGCGGGAAGTTCGGGAAAAACAGGGGGGGGAAGTACACCCCTTGACAGGACGGTGGCGCAGAGCAGAAACTTCGATCTTGCCGAATGTCTACAACCATAACTGTTCCCGTATCGCGAGGGCGAGCTGAGAAATGGAATGGGAGGGAAAACGGTCAGGCTCGGGAGAGTGAAGAGGTGTGTGTCAGAAGCCTTGGCCTGCGACTTCAGGGCAATAATTCGATATTAGCAGTACGCCGAACCGAACCCGGCTGACCAGGGAAAGTCCTGTCATAAGCCCAAGCCACATGCTGACTACTAAAAACCAGAAGAAAATCACTGTAGCTGGGTTTGACTGTATCATAGTACCACATGAGCCTGTTGAAAATTCATTTCAAGATAAATGATATCATTCAAAAGGAGACAGATAAGTCCTTCATAAACGTATATCCATCGTAACTAAACATATAAATGACTAAGAATCTGCTACGCCACCATCTAGAGAGGTACAACCCTTATTCCAATTAAATGACTAGGCCATCCGGCTGAATAGTGGAACGCAGGCCTTTCATGGCCATGTGCTGCGCATAAAACTCAGCATGTTCCTGCACACAGCAAGGAGACAACCATCAAGATTGTATGACAGTGGTGTTGAAAGTACCCCAACAAACCCCTTCCATCACACATCCCTTCCAGAACCCTCATTCAGCCGCAACAGCTACCATCATGACCATGCATGGTAAGAAAACGAACAAACAAAAGCAGCTCAAGGTAATGAAAGAACTTTCACCTTGATGGCGACGCAGACGAGCCCCTGACCCAGCTCTCTGGACTCGTTGAACACCCGCCGCGCGTCGTCCACCGTGACTGAAGGAACCACTGTTGGCAGCACCTTCGCGACTGATGCACAGAGCGAGCACATGGGAAACGGTTGCAAGGAGAGTGGAAAGGGCGAGAAGAACTTGTGACAACCGAACGAAAAACAAAGAGATCAGGACGACGCAAAATCTCCCCCTCACTCCCTCCTCCTCAACCCCCCAACCCCCCTCCCCACACCTCCACTCCCCCCCTCTCTCCCCCTCCTCTCCTCCGCTTAAAAACTAGGGAAAAGGTTTTCGGTCACCACAGAAACAAGCTGAAGCGACGCGACAGCACAAAGTAAGCACTCGCTCACCTCCATCCTCCGTGTGCTTCTCGTGGTCCAGTAGAAGCACGCGGTACCGATCCCCCCCTCCGTTCCGCATCCGCTGCTTCAGCTGCCCCATCTCTCCGCCGGCGTCCGTCTTCGGAGCGCCGTCCGCTCCTCCTGATTGGTCCAATCCCGGTCGCTCCAGCACCGAAGCTCCCCCGAACGAACTGCCGAGCCTACCGCGCAAGCGAACGCCTTGAGAGTCCATGCGAACGGCTAATGAAGCCATCGCAGCGTGAGAATCTGTTTGACTAGACTGAGCGACTGAGGAAGGCTTGCCTGCCCCAGCCAGTCTGTGGGCGAGAGCGGACGCGGTGACAGTCGCGGCAACTGAAGGAACTGACGCCATGATCTCGTAAAACGGAGAGTTCCTGCTGAAGTGACGATGTGCAAAGTCTAATCGTACTCTGCGGCTGACGAATTCGCAGTGGAGGTATGGAGCCCTATGACGCCGTATGACGTGAGCGTGCTGATAATGTCAGGAAGAACCAATGATTCCAAGCTGCGACTACAAATGATCGAAACGAGATACCGATGGTGAAAGAGCAGAGAATTTGTTCCTCGATCATGGCTGGGACTGGATGGTAGGGGGACGAAATTTTATGTGAGCGAAGCAGACGAGGGTGGACGAAGTCCCACGACCTCCATAACATATCTCGCGAACGAAAGGAGTTGCCAGCTGGACCGTCGAGAATGCGCGACCTGAAGTGGCGGCACGAGTGAGTGCCAGGTGTACATTGCTGTTGGAGGCGCGTGAACCTTCCCAAAAGCGCTGAGCCAGGTGTGTGTACCCGCTATTCCGTGTGCCAATAAGAAGTGAAACAGGAGACGATACATTTTCGTGGAGCACAAACTTAAACACCCACCCTGCTTTGACTGAACATCTTAAAACCGTTGGCCCAAATTGCACAAGTTTTAAAAAGTTGACGAGAGGGGTTTTGGCTGGTTAGGGTGTTGGCGAGTGTTTCCGATTTTGTGAAATTCGTTTTTTCATCAAATCCAGCCAGCCCCTCGTTTCTACACTGGTGGTGGGTGTGAGACCTCGACAGTCCCTAATTGCAGCTGCACTTCTTTTCAAAGCTTGCAAAGTTTTAAAAACTTGACCCGCGCGGTCCGCAATTTGGGCCGCGGGCTTTAAACCAAGGGGAAAGAAGAAGAAATGGAAGACCACCCATCAGGCTCGACCACTGACTTCTAAGGAGCCAACCTCTCACCGCCTCCACCTCCATCGCTTGAACAAGCTCAGTATTCGTTGATGATCTGCCACGCGCAATGGATGGGGATAAGAAAAGCCTTCCCATGACCACATTGTCCCAGTGCTGCCGCTGGCGTTTGATTAAATCTTCCCTGTCAGAGGACCCAGGGAACTGAGACGACTCTCTGTTGTCTACTTTTGTAATGCTTCCACTTCTGACACTGCCTTCACAGCTGCCGTGTAGCTTAGTATCACCCCCACTATTGTCACACTTGCTATTGTCTCCTGCAATGGCTCCGTCGCTATTGGAACTTCCTTTCCTTCTCCATACCGTCAGACAGTCGTGTGTCTCTGGCCAATTGGGAAGAGCCACGTGTTCAACCAGCATCCATTCCTTCTCCAGAAGGGAGAGAAACCGCGGGCCGGCGGTCTGCGGCTGGTATGAGGGCGATTGAGAAGAGTGCACCTGTAGGGAACAGTCATTTGACTGTACGGAGTGTATTTGTAGGAATTTAAGTGGGAATTCTCCAATAAACACCAAAGTGGAACCCATATAGTGGCGCAAAGCGTCAGCTGCCAGTGATGGCACCTCAGCATTTGATGCCGAATCTACTTCTGCTGCTCCTCTTGCTACTGCCCCCCCCGCTGCTGCTGCTCCCTCTGCTGTTGCTGCTGGTCTCCCGGCTACTGCTGCTGCTCCCCCTGCTACTGTTGCTGCTGCTGCTTCTCCTCCTCCACTTGCTGTTGCTGCTTCAGATGCTTCTACTCCTTCAGGTGGGGGCCAGCACAGCAGCAATGAACGGTCAGGATGCAGTGCAGACACCGAGGCATCTCCTTCTGAGAAAACGAAGGGCACGGAAGAACGCGGAACCAGAGGGAGGGTGGAACGGCTGAATCTGACCGGATGGTTGATTCGAATGAGCAGCTGTAATTCAGTGATCAACAAGAGACATCGTTGAAACAAACGCTGGAAGAGGGGTGCTCACCAGACACATGAGTGGTTCATGAGAATTCTCAAGAACAAGCTACTATAATAACCAGCAACAGACACTGTAGTAACGAACACATTGCAAGAGAGGTGCGCACCAGACACATGAGTGAAAGGCGGCACGTTAACTAGCTGACTCCCCAATGCCATGGGAAGGGCGTGGTGACCATTCACTCGGCTGCTGTCGCTGCTGCTGCTGCTGCTGCTATCGCTGCTGCCTCTCATGCTGCTGCCGCTGCCGACGTTTCTGCTGCTGCCTCCAGCACTGTCCAGAGGCGTCCAATCATACGCTGCCACGTCAACACCTCTCCTCCTCAGCAGTGCAGCCCAGTAACCCGTTCCTGCGCCCACCTGCCATGGTTGTGGTGAGCATGGAACGAGAGATTATTTAGCATGTCCTCTTTTAGACGTTTTACCAGAATAAGCAGCAGTGCAGCTCAGAAACGTGTGTCGTTTTTCACACACACAATCGCATTCAATCATCGCCATCACACGCACACTACATACTCTCATCCCCTCATCCCACTCCACTCCCTCAGACCGCTCTTCCCTCCCCTTCACCCCCGTTTTCCCCTTAGTGCCACTCCCCATCGCTCACCTCCATCACCCCCCTCCCTTCTGCAGCCGCCTTCACTGCTGCCAGTGCTGCCTCTGTGGGTACGGCCCTGCAGAAACGGAGGGGCGCAGGGGCAGAGAAGCGGAGAGACGGCAGAAAAGAGGTGACTTTTGAGTCGACACAAAAGCTGCCAGTGCAGCCTCTGTGGGTACGGCCCTGTGGAAACGGAGGGGCGCAGGGGCAGAGAAGCGGAGGGACGGCACGACAGGAAAGGAGCTGAACGAGGCTCAGGCGCCGGCAGCGGTGGCGACGGTGGAGGGTCCATGTGCGGCGACGGCGGCAGGAGTAGCAGAGTGAGCGGTCCTAAAAGCTGCCTGCCAGGCGAACCAGGCGTATATTCTGCTGAGCGGGGCGATGTTCAGATCAACGAAAGGCACGAGCAGCAGCAGCAGCCGCAGCCGCAGCCGCAGCTGCAGAGTGATTCCTCCGGAGCGTATATCTAGTAGCTAGTAGCCTTAAGAGCGTATAGCTAGTAGCCGTCGTACCATACGACGTACGAGGCATATATTCTGCAGAGAGGAGCGATGTTCAAGTCAATGCAGGGCACGAGCAGCAACAGCAGTAGCAGCAGCCGAAGAGTGAGGCCTACATGTAGTAGCAAGTACCCTGGGGAGCTACAATTCCACGTACCAGGCGTATATTCTGCGGAGAGGAGCGATGTTCAAGTCAATGTAGGGCACGAGCAGCGGATTCAGCGGCGCTGCTTCTCTTCCCCCCTCTCCGCCACTCTCCGCCCGTTTTCCCCCCACCAGCGCTTCCCCCCCGAGCGCGCGGAACTCCGCCGTGCGCTGGCGGAAGAGGCGGAGGTACTCCATGTCTGGCGCTAACGGCGCGCCGTCTGTACGCGATAAAAGGCCATCGTGGTAAGAAGACGAAGGTTCGCGCAGTCCCGTTAAGAGGGAGTGGTTGGGGTTCGCGCGAGCAGGCGGCTGCTTCGAAAGGAGCAAGCGAACGAGGAGGCGGCGAATCATGTCGAGCGGTTGAATGATGCAAGTCGACGACGACGGCGAAATTCTGGCGAGATGACAGCGAAACAGTGAGATGAAGTCGAAATTGCTGTGAGATCACGGCAAAATGACAAGTTCTTTTAAGCCCTGACACTTGATACCGCCAGGATACGGCGGGCTATGAAGCCTCACGACAGTTACGAACATGCGACGCCCGCCATGGTTGTGTTTTGAGTCAATGCCAAACACACCAACGGATATGGCGGCCTGATGCTTTCAGCGGGGATTCAGGGGCACAAATGGTTGCCTGATACGCGTTATGAAGTAGCAATGTAATTGTTGAAACAATCCCTTATTGCGTTTTGAGACTCGTGTTAGATGTGCATTTCAACTTCGAAGTTGGACTAAACCTCATTTGCCAACCCCAAACACCCGCCCCTGGCCCTATTTCCACCATTCTTGCGACTCCCCTCCCGTGCTGTGCCGTAGCAGGCTCGAAACCACTATAGTAGGGTCGCATCGCAAAGCAACGCATCGCAACGCAACAAAGGCTTCGGTAGACGTTGCTATCCATCCGGTCGATGTCTGCGCGAGGCAATTTCAGCTCTGAGCCGCCTTTTCCGAAATTAAAGTTAGTTACACTTTCGTGAGTGCAGCCTGCGTTCCGAGCTTTCGCAGCCTGCGTGCACCCGTTAAGCGCGTCATGCCTGCTACACTTACTAACGAGGATGAGGCCACTAAGACCGTTCTGGAGTCGCTCGGCGATCTCCCACCCACCTCTTTCCTCACACCTTCGTCGGACCTTTCGCAGCAGCTTCGCACCGCAGTGAAGGCTCTCTTCGACACCGGAATGTCCAACCTGGACGCCGCAAAGGACGCCGCACGTGACGCCGCATCTGGTGGAGGGAAAAAAGGAGCGTCCGGTTTTACCAAATCACAGTCGTTAGCCCCGGAAAGGAAGTTTCCTGGGCTTTTCGTCGATGGATTTGATTCGGAGCAGATCTGGTGCCAGCTGGACCTGGCTATGGCGCCGACACTTCCCCGCATTCGACGGCGGCTGAAGCGGGCGGAGGAGCTCATGGAAGGGAAGGCGGTGGGGAAGGACTTTTTTCGGGTTCCGAAGCTTGTCAGGGGGAAAGGCGGAAAGGGGGAAGCCGGTCAGGGGGGAGGGAAAGTACAAGGGAAGGAGATGCGGGGGAAGGGGGGGAAAGGGGGGAAGGGGCGAGAAGGGGAAGGGGACGAGGAGGGAAGTGACGAAAAGGAGCGGGTACAGGGTTTAGGGTTGGGGGGTTCTGAAGGGGAGAGTGGTGAGGAGGAAGAAGAGGAGGATGAGGAGGGATTGATGCGGGAGGGGAGGAGGAGAGGGATAGTAATGGGTTCTGATGAGGAGGATGACGAGGGGGAGGGGGATGGGGAGGAGGAGGACGAGGATGAATTGGCTTTAATGGAAGAGATCAGGAAAGCGAGGAGAGAGGAAGAGGAGGAGGGACAGGGGGAGGAGGAGGAGGAAGGGGATGAAGAGGATGGGGAGGGGGCGTTTGAGGCGCTTTACAGGGCAGGGTCGCCTGGTAGGGGGGAAGAGGATGATGGGGACGAGGTAAGGGACAGTGGGGAGATGATGGATGGATGGATGGATGGATGGATGGATGGATGGATGGATGGATGGATGGATGGATGGATGGATGGATGGATGGATGGATGGATGGATGGATGGATGGATGGATGGATGGATGGATGGATGGATGGATGGATGGATGGATGGATGGATGGGAGGGGTGGGGAGGGATGGGAAGGGATGGGGAGGGGTCGGGAGGGGTGGGGAGGGATGGGGAGGTGGGTTTCGGGTTTTAGAGGATTAAGGAGAAGTGTTGAAGCATGAATTGTAATAAAGGTCTGCTGCTGTTGCTATGTGTGTGGCATGTGCGTGATTGCACGGCCTGCCCATGCACGTGTGTGTGCTTTTGTGGTGGCATGTGTGTTTGTGACATGTGCGTGCATGTATGTGTGTCTATGTGTTTGCCATGTCTGTGTGCATGTCTTTGTGCGTGGCATGCGCGTGTGCGTGTGCGTGTGCGTGTGCATGTGCGTATGCATGTGTGTGTGCGTGTGTGTGTGCGTGTGCGTGTGCGTGTGATACGCATGTGCGTATGCATGTGTGTGTGTGTGTGAGCAGGGAGGGCGGAAGAAGGCACAGAAGAAGAGGGCGCTCCTAGATGGCGCCATGATCAGGTGAGAGCTGTTGGATTTGATTAAGGCATCCCACGGTTGTGCTCGAATGGGTGGGCATGCAGCAAAGAGTGAGTGCAGGGAGGGGGTATGGAGTCTTGAGCTGAGCTTGCTTGTATGCAAGGAAGGCTCAGAAGAAGTAGGCATGGGTAGATGGGTCCATGATCAGGTGAGCTTTAAACTTCGATGCTGTTCCATGGGTCTATGCAGGGGGGAAGGAGGAGATTAGGCTTCTTAATGTCCCAATCACGTGCGCTGTTTTGTTTCCCTCTCCTCATTATCCCAACCCTTGTACTGCACGTTCCCCATTGACTTGCCCCATTGTTCTCTCCCTTTCGTCGTCCTTCCCAGATACGAGGACTTTTTCGGGAGGAAAGCGCCAGAGAGCCACCTGGAAGCGGATAGGGTGATGAGGGGCGAAGAGGAGGAGGATGTGGAGGATGTTGAGGTGGAGGAGTGGGATGGGGAGGAGGAGGATGAGGAGGAGGAGGGGGACGAAGGCGAAGAGGAGGAGGACGAGGAGGGAGAGGAGGAGGATGAGGAGGAAGGAGAGGAGGAGGGGAAGGCAGTGGTGGAGAGGAGGAAGAAGGGGTTGTTGGAGGAGGAGGAGGAGGAGGATGAGGAGGGTGGAGAGAAGGAGGACGAGGAGGTGCGTTAAGAGAATCGGTTGGGAACGGTAAGTGGGGAGGCGGTGGGGAGGTGACAGTGAGCTAGAAAGGAAGAGGTGGTGGGTGGGGACAATGGATGGGACGTCCCAGCAGTTCACGGCCCTCTCTCGAGAACTCTTGAAGCTCACACACACCACAGCCCTCGTTCCCACCCACCCTCCCACCCACCCACCCACCCACCCACCCACCCACCCACCCACTACTTGATGATGCGCCATCCTCTCGCCCGGATTTGCCCCATTTGCTCCCACAGCCCAACTCGCTGTACGGGATTCTGGAGCTGCTGCTGAGGAAGCACATGCGGCAGGTGCAGGAGGAGAAGGTTCTGATTACCATGGTGTTTCCTGTGTCAGATCCCAACTCAAGGCCCAACCCATGTTCCAAACCAATGCCTTTATGCTTCCCGGCCCTGTTTACTCCCACAGCCCAAGTCCCTCTCTATGAGATCCCCCTGGGCCGGCTGAGGAAGCGCATGCAGCAGCTGGAGGAGGAGAGCCTCTGAGAGTCCCATCCCAGTGTGGTCTTTCCTGTGCAGCCCTCTAACCCTCCATGCGTCCTCCTCTTTTCCATCCGTTTTACCTCCCACAGCCCAAGTCTCTGTCCGAGATCCGCCTGAAGTGGCTGAAGAAGCGCATGCGGCAGCTGGAGGCAGCAGCTGGAGAGTGTTCGATTCACATTACTTTTACCGTGCGCCCCTCTCCCGCACCCTCCTCTCGCCCTCCTCTTGCATCTCTCTGTCCCGGTTCTGTTTACTGTTGGTACAGCCCAAGTCATGTCATTGTACGAAATCCGCCAGGAGCGGATGGAGGAGGAGAACCTCCGAGAGTCCTCTCTCTCGCTCTCCACGTGCCCTCCTCTTTTTCTGTCCGTTTTTTTTTTCCCCGCAGTCCAAGTCACTCTATGAAATCCACCTGGAGCAGCTGAGGAAGAGGATGCCGCAGCTGGAGGCGGAGATGACTGCAAACCTCTGTGTTTCTGCGAATATATTCCAATATAGTCCGTTTCTGTGTGCCCTTCACCCCCCTCTTTCCCAGTTCTGTTTATCATTACAGCCCAAGTCTCTGTATGAGATCCGCCTGGAGCGGCTGAGGAAGCCCATGCGCCAGCTGGAGGAGGAGAGTGTTTGATCCTCACACACCCTCCTCTCGCCCTCCTCTTGCATCTCTCTTTCCTTACTGTTGTTACAGCCCAAGTCATTGTACGAGATCCGCCTGGAGCGGCTGAGGAAGAGGATGCGCCAGCTGGAGGCGGAGAACCTCCACGTGGAGGCGCGCCATTGGACGATGCGCGGCGAGGTGACAGCTGGCAGCCGCCCGAAGAACAGCGCGCTGGCCGCTGACCTGGACTTTGAGCACGCCGCCCGGCCGGCGCCCGTGATTACAGAGGAGGTGACTCAAACGATCGAGGAGATCATCAAGAAGCGGATTCTCAATGTGAGTGGTTGGGGATGAGGGGGGGGGGGGGGAGAGAGGGGGGAGAAGGGAGAGGGTAAGGTGGGGGGGAAAGATCGGGGTAACCAGTGGAGGGAAGGGAACGGGGGGATTCGGTGGTCGACTCAGTAACCAGTGCGTGTGAGTGAGTGAGTGATTATGGAGGAGGTGACTCAAACGATCGACGAGATCGTCAAGAAGAGGATTCTCAACATGAGTCCTATTTTTCTGGGTGGGTGGGTGGGTGGGTGGGTGGGTGGGTGGGGGAAGAGAGAGGTCGGGGGGTGGGTGGGGGGAGAGGGGAGGGGGTAGAGGGGAGGGGAGGGGGTAGGGGGGAGGGTGGGGGGAGGGGGGAGAGGGGGGGGAGGGGGAGGTTTCTTTTCAAAAAAACAAACAAACAAAAAACAGGAAAAACGTGGGCGGGCGGGCGTGTCAGTGGGTGAGTGGGTGGGTGTCCGCATGTGTGTGTGGGTACGAGGCCATGCTAGTGAATGCGAGTGTTCAATATAACCATGCACGCTTCTTTTTTTGCTCAATCGCACCAGTACATATTGCAGACATCCAACCATCCCCAACTCTTCTTTTGTCCCGTTTCCTTCCCCTTGCTTGCTCTTCTTGTCCACGTCAGCAACAATTCGATGACGTGGAGCGGAAGGCCAAGCCCATAGCGACACCTGTCAAGGGGAGATTGGAGCTGGTGAGTGCCCCATGCTTCTCCTTGCTGCTTCTTCTGTTTCTGTGTGTTACCACCCTGTCACTCCGGTTGAAATCCACTGCCTGACATCCGTGCATGTCCGTTCCACCCGGGCGAGGGCCCTTCCTCCCATTCCCCTCCACCCGGGCGAGGGCCCTTCCTCCCATTCCCCTCCACCCGGGCGAGGGCCCTTCCTCCCATTCCCCTCCACGCCCATACCACTCTCCTCTTGATATCCACTGCCTGTCATTCCTGTGTGTTTTCTCCGCGCATGCCCCTCCACATACACCCTGCCAGGACCACAACCCCAGCGCCCAAGGCCAGGCCCGGCGGAGATCCACGAGGCTCAGTTCCGCAAGCCTCCCTCGCCCGTCTCTTTGTCTTGCCACCCGGTCATTCTCGCTTGACTTGTGCGTCTCATTCCTGTGTGCTCCCTCCATGCGTGGCCCTTCCCTCGCAGGATGACAACCCCAGCGCGCAAGGCCTGGCGGAGATCTACGAGGCTCAGTTCCTCAAGGCGGCTGGGCAGGCACCCGAGGGCATGAGCGCCACAGAGCAGATCAAACACGAGGTGAAGCGAGGGGGGAAAGGGGGGGTGCGGATGCGGAGGGGGGGAGGAGGGGGGGAAAGGGAGCAAATGCGGGAGCAGATTGGGTGGGGGGTTAAGGCTGGCCAGGCTCCCGAGGCCATGAGCGCCACCGAGCAGATCAAACACGAGGTGAAGCGAGGGGGGAGGGGAGGGCTGGGGAAGGAGAGTGGGGAGTTGTTGGGTCTGCGGTGGGGGAGGGGAGGGAGAAAGAGTGGAGGGAGGGGATGAATGCGGGTGTGGGGAGGAATTGAAACGGGAAGGGAGGGTGGGTAAAGGAAGCACACATCCGCACACACGCACACACGCACACCTGCACACACCTCCTGCACACACGCACACCTGCACACCTGCACACCTGCACACACGCACACCTGCACACACGCACACCTGCACACACGCACACACGCACACCTGCACACACGCACACACGCACACCTGCACACACGCACACACGCACACCTGCACACACGCACACACGCACACCTGCACACACGCACACACGCACACCTGCACACACGCACACACGCACACCTGCACACACGCACACACGCACACCTGCACACACGCACACACGCACACCTGCACACATGCACACACGCACACCTGCACACACGCACACCTGCACACACGCACACCTGCACACACGCACACATGCACACCTGCACACACGCACACACGCACACCTGCACACACGCACACACGCACACCTGCACACACGCACACACGCACACCTGCACACACGCACACACGCACACCTGCACACACGCACACACGCACACCTGCACACACGCACACACGCACACCTGCACACACGCACACACGCACACCTGCACACATGCACACACGCACACCTGCACACACGCACACACGCACACCTGCACACACGCACACAAGCACACCTGCACACACGCACACACGCACACCTGCACACCTGCACACACGCACACCTGCACACACGCACACCTGCACACCTGCACACCTGCACACACGCACACACGCACACCTGCACACCTGCACACACGCACACACGCACACCCGCACACCTGCACACATGCACACCTGCACACACGCACACACGCACACATGCACACACGCACACCTGCACACACGCACGGGAAGAGCTGAAACATGAAGCGGGTAAAGGAAGCACACACGCATGTTACGTGTGGAGAGGTTATTTTTGAGACGTCTCAAAAATACCCTCTCTACGCACGGGAAGAGCTGAAACATGAAACGGGTAAAGGAAGCACACACGCAAGTTTCACCTCTTCCTTCCCCCTCTTCCTCGCATTCCATCCTCTTCTCCCCGCGTGTTCCCTCAAGCACCTGTTCAGGAAACAGGTGTTTCTCACACTTTCCCGTCCTACTCTCCGCCCCTCTCCCACGCCCGCCCCTCTCCCACGCCCACCCTTCTCCCACCCCTCTCCCACCCCTCTCCCTCTCCTCTCTCACAGGCGGCTCGTATGTTCAAGCATCTCTGCACCAAGCTGGATGCACTCTCGCACTTCCACTTCGCTCCCAAGCCGGTACGTCTCCCACCCCTCTCACCACGTAAGTGGCCCACCCACCCTTTCCACCCCTCCCACCACATTCCACCCACCCCACCCCTCCCACGCTACAATGTAGCGGCTCGGCTACATGTGCTCGTTACTTTACTCCTGAGATGTCTTCCCAGTCGACTCAAACGTCCCTTTACGAGGTGCCAACCAACGTGCTGGCCTGGCCACTGCCATGCATTACGTACGGCTGATGTGCCTGCATGGATTGACAATCACATGGCACAATGTGATGTGCCTGCAGGGATTGACAATCACATGGCACAATGTGATGTGCCTGCAGGGATGGACAATCGCATGGCACAATGTGATGTGCCTGCAGGGATGGACAATCGCATGGCACAATGTGATGTGCCTGCAGGGATGGACAATCGCATGGCACAATGTGATGTGCCTGCAGGGATGGACAATCGCATGGCACAATGTGATGTGCCTGCAGGGATGGACAATCGCATGGCACAATGTGATGTGCCTGCAGGGATGGACAATCGCATGGCACAATGTGATGTGCCTGCAGGGATGGACAATCGCATGGCACAATGTGATGTGCCTGCAGGGATGGACAATCGCATGGCACAATGTGATGTGCCTGCAGGGATGGACAATCGCATGGCACAATGTGATGTGCCTGCAGGGATGGACAATCGCATGGCACAATGTGATGTGCCTGCAGGGATGGACAATCGCATGGCACAATGTGATGTGCCTGCAGGGATGGACAATCGCATGGCACAATGTGATGTGCCTGCAGGGATGGACAATCGCATGGCACAATGTGATGTGCCTGCAGGGATGGACAATCGCATGGCACAATGTGATGTGCCTGCAGGGATGGACAATCGCATGGCACAATGTGATGTGCCTGCAGGGATGGACAATCGCATGGCACAATGTGATGTGCCTGCAGGGATGGACAATCGCATGGCACAATGTGATGTGCCTGCAGGGATGGACAATCGCATGGCACAATGTGATGTGCCTGCAGGGATGGACAATCGCATGGCACAATGTGATGTGCCTGCAGGGATGGACAATCGCATGGCACAATGTGATGTGCCTGCAGGGATGGACAATCGCATGGCACAATGTGATGTGCCTGCAGGGATGGACAATCGCATGGCACAATGTGATGTGCCTGCAGGGATGGACAATCGCATGGCACAATGTGATGTGCCTGCAGGGATGGACAATCGCATGGCACAATGTGATGTGCCTGCAGGGATGGACAATCGCATGGCACAATGTGATGTGCCTGCAGGGATGGACAATCGCATGGCACAATGTGATGTGCCTGCAGGGATGGACAATCGCATGGCACAATGTGATGTGCCTGCAGGGATGGACAATCGCATGGCACAATGTGATGTGCCTGCAGGGATGGACAATCGCATGGCACAATGTGATGTGCCTGCAGGGATGGACAATCGCATGGCACAATGTGATGTGCCTGCAGGGATGGACAATCGCATGGCACAATGTGATGTGCCTGCAGGGATGGACAATCACATGGCACAATGTGATGTGACTCTTCTTTAGGCCCGTCAATTCAATCGTCTCAAGGCGCCTCAATTCTTAGTGACTGTAATGATTACCTTCTGTGTGCTTGCTTGCTACTCCCCTTCTCGCTCCCATCAGATCATTGACGATGTTGACATACAGCCAGCGTCTCTGCCAGGGGTATTTTGAGGCGACTCATAACCTACTGTGTGATTACATTGAATATTTCCTGTGCTTGCTTGCTATTCCCCTCTTGGCTCCCATCAGATTATGGATGACATTGACGTCACGGCCAACGTGCCTGCCATTGCCATGGATCGTGGCTGATAAGCCTGTTGTGATGTGACTATATCGATTCTATCCTGTGCGTCTTACGCCCCTCTGTCTTCCAATCAGATTATGGATGACATTGACGTCACGGCCAACGTGCCGGCCATTGCCATGGAAGAGGTACGCACGTCTGTCTGTCTGTCTGGTGAACTCGTGTGTGCTGTGCTTGTGGTGTCTCCTGCTTCACTCCTTCCTCCCTGTTTTTGTTTGTAAGTCGTCTTCCTAAGTTCTCAGTAATTACCTTTCTAATCGCACCTCCTTGGCCCGCCATTTCTCCCGCACCTCCTTGGCCTGCCATTTCTCCCTTACCAAACCCCCCTCCAACAGGTGGCGCCAATGGTGGTGTCAACGACAAGCGCGCTGCGCCAGAGGAGGTGTATGCAGGCGGGGAGGAGAGGAGGGCATAGGGGCGGAGCGGACCCTTTCTCCTTGACCAGTGCTCCAGGTGCTGATACCTTTTCTCCTCTCCCTTCCATTTTGACCCTTCTCCCCACCAGGTGGCGCCAGTGGCGGTGTCAACAGCAAGCATGCTGGCGCCAGAGGAGGTGTTTGCAGGCGGGGAGGAGGGCGTGGGGGCGGCCCTTTTTCCCTTTCTCAATGTCCCTTCCAATCCCTACCCCCCACTCTCCCCAGGTGGCGCCAGTGGCGGTGTCAACAGCCAGCATGCTGGCGCCAGAGGAGGTGTTTGCAGACGGGGAGGAGGGCATGGGGGCGGCCCTTGCTCTCCATCTCATCGCCCCAGTTACTGATTCCCCTTCTCTCTTCCAATCCCTTCCCCCTCTCCCCCCCCTCCCCTACTCTCCCCAGGTGGCGCCAGTGGCGGTGTCAACAGCCAGCATGCTGGCGCCAGAGGAGGTGTTTGCAGGCGGGGAGGAGGGCGTGGGCGCGGGCGGGGGCAGGAGGGGGAGTGCGCGGGGGATGGTGAAGGGCGAGGGGGAGATGGAGCGGGAGGACCGGAAGCGACTGCGCAGCAAGCTCAAGCGCAAGTGGAAGGGTGAGTGGTTGATTTCTGCTGTTGGGGTTCTTGACCTCTGTGATTTGTTCCCGTCGGTCCCCATTCTGTTTTAACCCTCCCGACACATTTCCCCTCTCCCCTCCTCTCTGTCCGCGCCCTTGTGCTTGCGCAGGAGAGAAGGCCGAAGAGCAGAAAAGCTCTCAGGCAGTCCCAGGCATGGCATCTGGTGCGGGTGGTGCTGCTGCTGGCAGTGTTGGGCGCAAGTTACGGGTGGTGGAGAGGGGGCAGCAGAAGCACGGCCTATCGGATTTCACCAACTCAGCTAAGGTATTTCCTTCTTACCTGGCCGCCCCTGCCATGCTCCATCTGTATCATTCAACTGCTCTCATCTGTCCTGCTTTTTTCGTGCCCGATTGCCCGCTTTTTCGCTGCTTGCCTTCCACACCCCGTCAATCTCCACTCACTTTTGAGGCGCCTAAAAAAAAACACACCTAGTCTATCTCCACTCACTTCCATAATGCTGTCTAGAGCATCTGGCAGCATGAGGAGCTGCCACTGTGATTCGAGGTGCTACGTTGGCAGCAGGAGGAGCTGCTCTGAGTTGATTTGAGCCGCTGTGTTCTCTTCCCTCCTCCATCTCTCCCCCATAGGTCTTCACACACATCCAAGACATCAGAGCATCTGGCAGCAAGAGGTGCTTTGAGTTGATTTGAGCTGCTGTGTTCCCTTCCCTCCCTTCCCCTCCTCCCTCCCTCTCCCCCACAGGTCTTCACTCACATCCAGGACATCAGAGCATCTGGCAGCAAGAAGCAGCGGGCGGCAGCGCCATCTCAGCACGAGCCGCAGCAGATTCAGGCGGCGGCACTGAAGCTGTGACGTGGAGTGTTCACATCACCATCACCAGCACATGGGTTATCTCGTTTTCTTTTGAAGTTCTCAGCAGCAAGAGCCTCAGCAGATTCGGGGTGGCAGTACTTCACCTGTGATGTGGATAAAGTCTTCTTCACTACCAGCACATCTTCTTCCTCCCACCACCGTATGGGTTGTTTAGTTCTTACAAGTGGCACCACATTCACTTCTTCCTCTACCAACATCGCTGCTACGCATGTGCTAGTCATCGTGGCAGTAAGGTTGGGTGCTGCTTCCCATGTGCTCCACCTCAACACCCTGGTTTCAACAGTGCAAGCGAAGAATGATCGTTGATGTATAAACACGCACATACTGAGGTGTACAATTTGGCTACAGCAATGTGTTCTAGCCAAAAACCCACAGCCCAACCCAGCACAAACCAACGCCCCAAAACAGAACACGTTCTTGCATGTTGTTTCTGGCCTTGCAGCCTGCAGAGCAGACGGCCTTCCTTTCCACACATCCCACCCCAAAGCCTTGATACTCTTTCTTCACTGCCTGGATCCTCCTCCAGGTGACCAAACCAAGCATTCCCAAATTAACCTGTTCACACTAACATGAAGCACATGTTCCATGTAAAACGTTACCCACCTATGGAGCTAGGTAGGTAAGTAAAAAAATTTCAGAGGTGCAGTGCAAGGTCCAGCACTGGAGCAGGTGCAGAATGGTGCTGAGCGGTGCGCAGCTCCTCACACGCACCCCCAGAGCTGCCACTCTCCTGATGCGTCTCCTCCACCCCCGAGGAGCAAAAAAGATTCAACTCCATTACCTCTGCTTCCCTCCCATTCCTCGCATTCTTCGCATTCCGTGTCGCCTGTTGCTCGGCCTCATCAAGATTCTCCTTCACATGAGGTGCCGCGTCACACGCAGCCATGGCTGAATCCGAAGCTCCCAAGCTGGCACCCCTGGCTCCTGAGCCTGCATCCACGTCAGCATCAGACTCATCAGATGACGTGGATCGTGCGCTTGTCTCTCCTGCCACGTGGGACACCCTCTGACGCTTCAGCCGACCCAGCTCTTGCCGAATGTTCGCCAGAATTGCAGCTCTTTCAGTGTCCGTGGACCCACTCTGGTTACCACTTTGGTTACTGGTCTGGTTACCATTGCTCTGGTCACCACCGCTGTGTCTTGTGTCCGCGACAGAGCTCCGCGTGGAGCTGTCAATCCGAGTCAGCCTGGGCGGCCGCGTCGCCGGCGCTTTCACCTTCAGATTCAAGATCCGAGCCGCCTCAGACAAAGGCTGCTGCGGTGGCGCTCCGGTCACTCGAGGTTGCAGCGGCTGCGGCAACGGCAGCGGCTCTGATTCAACGATGTTACTATCTTCAGCCGTCCTCACGATGCGCGGCGCGTCTTTATAGAGAGAATACGGACCCCGAAGCGGCGGGTTCGGAGAGAGCTCCCGCCGCCGCTTTCCGCCCGCGGCGGCGCCGCAGGTTCTCGTCGAAGCGCGGGCCACGGGCTTTCCGCCGCTGCCGTCGCGATGAGCCGACTTGTGGCCGCCCAGAGCTTGAAGCGACGCGAATTTGGAGCCGCAAATTGCGCACGCGAAGGGGCGGCACGGAGATGGCGACGCTGACGCCGGCAAAAGAGAGTGTTTTCCAGTTTGCGACATAAACATCAGCTGGTTACCACAAGCAGGAGTGCCACTAGGAAGTGCTGCTGATGGTGACGTGACGTGTAGCGACGCGCCGCGATTATTAAAAGGGCCGCCGAAGTGCCGCCGCGCGGCTTCGATTTGCCGTGACTCCTCCTGCGAGAAGCATCCCCAATCCGCCGCCCGACGGGCCGCCACAGAAGCGTGATCATCAACGGCGGCGTCATGATGATAGTGATCTTGATCAATCAACAAGTTGCTGAGCCCGCATTTTCCGCGCCAATCAATCAGCGCGTCCAAGAGGGAGTGTGAGGGAGCATGCGGCGCGCCTCGCAGAGTCATTAGTTCCGCCCCCATCGCAAGATCGCCCTCGACCGTCGATATGGAATCGTCGAAGTCGATTGCGCCGTTACCTTGTCCCGCGGCGCGTCGTGCCGCCTTCAATGCTAGAGATTGCGTAGTCTCAGGAAGATTATGCGGCGCTAGATTGTAGAGGGGAGCATTGGCAAGCATCAGACGAATGGAATAGGCTGATGGAACGTTCGCCGCATGGAGCGGCGATTCGAGAAGGGCGGTCATCCTGCTTGATAGTAATTATGAGAATTTTCAGCGCAAAAAGTGGAGATTTCTGCTTGTTCAAAAATAGAGAGCGACAGAAGAAGCCGCGTCACGGTCTTCCCGTTGTGAACTGTTTACTATGGTGCATCGAAGGATGAGTGACTGGAAGGACGATTCCAGTGACGGTCGTGGCGAGTTGTTGAGTTGAGAGAAGGATGACTGAAAGTGAAGTTTCGAGAAGATAAGTGAACCAAGCTTGAGTCTTGCAAGATGGGTAGACTAGATAATCGTGTGTCAGATATGCAAATCAAAATGCACTGCACGAGAGCAGCTCCTCGAACGAGCAGATTTCACGTCGGAGCGCGTACGCTCTGCAGTGTACTCTTCTCTGCTTGAGCAGCAATGATCTTTGGGCATGGATACTGAGCTGGCCTATTTCTGCAGGATATTACTGGGGTCCCACTTTCGGGGCAGCAGAATCTAAAAAACTTTTAAGATCGGGGCCGTGGAATAATGCTTGACGCTCGACAAGAATCCACGTGGATATATCGACCTGTCCTCGACGTCACCCCCAGTTCTGTGTCTGATCTTTTGCTTGTGCAAGTGCAAGAGGGTGGAAATGCGAAGGTGGAAGTGTCCGTGGTGATGCGGGCTGTAGGCTGCGTCGTACATAAATGCCAACTCTTGTTTCGAAGGCGTTTCCACCTAGCCGAGTTCTGGTCATAATCGGCCCTGCAGTCAGAGAATTGAGATTCGAGCTGTTCGAAAAGACATCAGAATACCCTGTTTCTGGTGTTGATCCACAACATTATTACTATAATTGGAGAACACGCAAACGAAACTATACGCCAGATGCCGTTGGGAAATTATTCAGTTCCAATTGGCGAATCTTATCTTGCCTCAAGAGAGCTGGTACACTCGGGGCAATTCGCGCGTGCTGTGTCCAGCGTGCTTGCCAGACTTGTGGTGGCAACAAGCATCCAGCCAAGGGTGCCATATGTGTATCATGTGCTGCGTGATCATTACCCAGCGCCAGCTGTCCCAACTGCAGAAGATATTTGAGAAATGCCGCATGCCCAGTCCATACACAAGATGCCCGTTGGACTAGCCCAAAGTCGCCTTGTGAAGAAGACCTTTAACCGATTCTTTTACTTCGCTAAGGTTTCGTCAATTCGCAATTAGACAAAAAGGGCTTTTAAAAGACTTTGTAACTCTCTGTTGACCGTTTGATGTTGGTCTCTTCTGTCAAACTTCCGTTTTTGTGGTTCGTATTGCTCGAGGTGCTTGTGAATTGGGTGCAACTGGCTGGCACCGTATTACACGGGTGCAGAGTTTCCGACGCGGTCAGGGCAAATCCGCGCGCAGGGGCTGGGCATCTTGTGTACACCTGTCCCGCGATAATTTCACACACCGTACCCTCGTTTTTGTCAGACACCCTATGCTTTTTGGTTCGATGAGTGGAGCACCCTTTCATTACGGGTTTATCGCACATGACCCTAAGGTGCCGGCCTCGCACTTGTCAGTCGGAGTAGTGAGTGGGAACAGTTTCTCCGCCAAGCTTGTACGGCCGCTGGCAAGCGACGGGATTGTGTGACCGTAACCTCGATAATTCAAATCATGCTGTGAACTACCCTTGAAATCAGATTGTCTGAGGCTAGGTACCCCTAGGCATGAAGATAAAGGGTGTGGAATTATCGCGGGACAGGTGTACATGTCTTGCCAGCGTGGAGCATGCTGATATACAGGCCCTGCTCGGTAGCCCCCCCAGTCACACTGCGGTTGGTGCAGGTGCTCTTCCTCGGCCCAATGTCGAATCACCTTAAAGCCCACCGAGCCGTTATTAGAACACCATACCTGCCCAGTGCAATTGGCTACCGAACGCGTGAAAAACCCAGTCCGAGTGAAGTTGAGGACGCTACCACGAAAATGCTTGCTCAGGCAAGCTCGACCGCCAGTGAGAGTCAACCCCATTTCTACTTTCCAGTTCCACTCAGGCAGGCCCGCTCTGAGTGGCACGCTGTAGGGGAAACGCTGCATTAATTTTGAATCGGGTCAAATTATGTTTTTCAGCCTGCTCGTTCAAACAATGAGAGATCGTGCCCGTTCGTGAATTTCTTTTATCCATATCGAGGGTGTTTTATTTGGCGGGCTGTTTTGTTTGTGAGCTGGGCAGCCTCGTAGAAAAGTAAAAGTTTCGACCAGTAATTTCTCGAGAAACACACAGTAACTTCTTGCGTTTGTGGACGAGACTTCCTTTCAGTGTGAGTGGACACCCAAGGCTACGAAACATGTCGTAGGCCTCCCCAGTTCGAGTAAGCCCAGTGGACTGGAAGGCTACCGAACAGGGCCGCAAAGTACATATGTCTTCGCCGAATGTCTTTGGACTTGTTGCACACAAGTCTCCAGACGGTTCACCTGGCGTAGCCTGACGCCAAGGGACCACCGCCAGCAACAGGCGCACCCTCCCTACTACGCCAGCCTGCTTCGGCCCCATTTCAGGGTCAAGACCGGATATTCCCCTGCTAAATTGTACGAGGGCGGGTCAGCCAAGTACGTATAGGGGCTGCGTTATGTGGGCGCATCAGCCCGCATCAATGTACATTGATGCATTCTACCACGGTTCCAATATACTTCTGTGATACCGACAGGCTATCAAGGTTCGCGATAAGCGCATGGCTGCCGAAGCGAAACAAATCCGAATGCCTGCAGAACGGCCTTTTCGGCGACCAAAAATTAACATGTCGCCAATCTACGAGAAATTTCTCGTCCTAGCAATCTGGCGCATCATTGATCCGCACATCATGCAACTACGAGA